GAATTGTTCTGTATCAATTTTGTACAAGTAATTCACTTCTTTCTTGTATTTGCTGTTTTTTTTTTTAATTTGAAAATAAGTTTGTTGCCTTCCAGAATCTTGATAACTCAAAATTGCTGTTAAGTATGATATTATAAGAGTCTATCATATTTCTTTTTTTTTTTTGCAAAAAGTACGACAGGTTTCGTCTTTCAAAATAAATATACTAACATGGAAATAAACTATATCAATTATTATATGGATGAAAATTAAATGGTAACCTGCTTGCGCAATCGGTATATGCTGGCGAGGTACCAATGATGGATGATAAGGGAGGTTAAAAATAACTCAGTTAACATATAATACAGAATTATCCAAAATAATTTCCAGGGGGAAGTTGCGTGGAGGTCGACCTAACAGGGAAAATCTATTAAGTACAAAAAGTATTATAAAAATCGATTCAGAGCTGGCAAAATGCGTAACATGGTTACGAAAAAAAAAACAGACAAATTCACAACCTTCATCCTTTGAAAATCATTTATATTTCACATAATTGTCATAATGAAAACAGGAAAAACAAAAAATAATTAGTTACTAATGATAATAAATACTGTTGCGTAATTCATGACTAAAATTATTTTTATCCAATTATGGCCACACACAAAATTCCTGTAATCATTTCCTATGGCCCAAATACGCGGAACTCCGGATGTCTCACGTCCGAGACACTTCCAATCGCGATACGAGATCGAAGCGACTTTGATCTATTCCGGGCGCCAAATGGTCCACGTCGTTGGTAAACATTTAGATTGATTGTACTACACCAACGTTAACAAGCAATGGTCACTCATCAATCTAAAGTTTAAAGTGAGAAGCCTTGTAAAATTTCCAAAGAAAGAATGGTTTTGGTATATAAAAAACCTACTACATACATTATTTTAAAGCAGCCTCGAGTCGGTATCACTTAGAACAAAAAATGTTTATTCGAAATCTATGTATGCAATTTATTAATATTAAAAATTTTGTAAAGTAGCTAGGTCTTTTATAATTGTTATCGATATCAATATTTTGGCCAGAAGTATTTTATAAAAGTTACACAAGAAAATTTATATTGATTTATTATATTGATACTTCTAGATAAATTCATGCATGAATTCATTTTCCATTTTTGTCTTTATAAAGGCAGTGACGGTTCTTAATAATGTAATGGTTTATTTGCTCTGTAAGTAGAGCAGTTAGGTCTATACCAAGTGGGTTTTTAAATTAATGGCGGACGATAACTAAAGTCAAAAAGCATATGTATGTATATATTTAAATACTGCATTATAAATTCAAATTTCAATAATTAATTTCTTTCAGTTACTGTACATATGCGAGATATAATATATCATTATACTATAAATATTCTTGGATATTTTAATAGGAAGAAAACAACGAGCCCTCGTCCGGTGGCGCTTACCGATGCGTTCAGTCGCTAGTTATTTTGAAATTGTAAATCACGAGGCGGCGAGTGCGGTGGCTAATTTTAACTTAAAAATGTTGATCCAAGATTGATACATCCCGTTCAAATAAGCAAATGTCTATAAAAATACTACCCTATTTACTTAATGTTACTTTAACACCTCTGTTTATTACTTTCTTCTTAACAACAACGTAATAAAAATTAACTTGCAGTGGTGTTGGGTAAATAAGGATGTTAGTTAGTGGACAATTCATACGAGAATGGTTTAATTAGACAGAGTTTAATAATGAACGCAGTTGTATGTTTACTCCTATGCTTCATTTACACTTGACCGCAAATCCGATTCGTAAATGAAGTTCATTTGAGCAGACTGTACTAGCTAATATATAATGCTATAGGTATTTGAAATATAATAGCGTATAGTTAAGCTTCTCGTCATCACAATTACAAATATTTAGTAAAAATAAAAAAAAAAATTTGAAAAAGTTGTCATTGTACCTATATATTTCGTTTTACTTCTTCTTAACATTTCATTTATTCAAACAATACTTAACTGTTATGTATTTTTATTTGTAACTGAAAGTGTCTTCTTATTTCTAATATATTTGATATATGATTCTTCCAGAAGTGTTGACTATTGCTTATTTTTCTTCGCCGCTTGTCTAAGTGTGGCCCGTTTTAGAAATTTCCCGATACTGCCGTCCCCTTGTGCCGTGAGTCAGGCAAATTACGGCGTTTGTGATTAATACACGCTATTCCTGGTTGTATCCTTTATTCGTTGCTTTAGTTTCCTTTGTTCTGGAAGACATAGCCCGGTGTAAAGTGTTTCGTCACATATATTTTATATTACTAATCATTTTAAGAACACGTATGCCATGTATTACTCAAATATTTTATAAGAGCTCCATCTAAAAGTTTTACTCGTGTTTTACAATGTAAATATCATTGTAATTCATACTAGAAGATCTATTAAAGAACAGTTCTTAGATATAAGTGAAATTAAATAATATGTAATATATTATTAAAATGTTATTCATTTTTTTTAAGTAAGCACTTAAAATATTTAGATATTACAATCACAAAATAACTAAAAATTTCTCCAATATATTTATATTATTCATATATAAAAATATTATATACCCATAAAAAAATTGTTTTTATTTTCTTAATTAATTAATGTATAATTTAATAATAGTTTGTATAATGTGAAAATTGTAATTAATTAATATTAAATTATTGTCGCAATGACTGTAAACTATGATTATATACCTGAAATAAAAAAGATTTATTATTATTATTATAATGTAGATATCTTAATTATAAGTCCTGTAAATACGTAAAGATCGAACTAAGAACATTGCAATTTAGATATACTTAATATCATAAAGAAACTTCATTAGTAATTTTGACTAGGTAACACCGCTGCATAAGGACATTGAACTTTTTACTATTTACACATTAATATTTCACGTGGTTTATTATACCGGAAACCATGTGCTTTCATATGTAATGCGGATTATGGACTATAAAACGAAGTGTGTATGATTCACTGTCAAAATGAGATGTGAAGCCATCGGAATGCTGTTCGATATCCTATATGCGGGCCAATGTAAGTTTGTATATTCATCATGTGAAATACTATACATGTGTACATTTAACATAACAGTTTAAAAAGTTAAAGATACTTTAGAATTAAGCTTCTATACTATACCAATCCCGATTCAAATGAGTCATTATGTTGTCTATTTGCTAATTTCCAATAAATTGTGTAAGACTGGTTTATTTTATTTGTCATAGTTTACTCTAGTCAGCACTTTATATTTTAAATTAATAGCACTGACATCAAATTGAATCAAATTTATTTTTATAGATATTTCAACGTACTGTTATTCAGAAAGTTATTTTTTTTTATTTAAGAATTTTTTTTCTTGTGGTTCAACTAATACATGATTCTCTTTTATCCAGCTCTATTCCAGACCGATTCCAGATAGCTTTGGCCTATCTATACGACATGACATCTATAGTGTTTCCTTTATCAGTCCCATGTAGTTATTTCTTGGAAAGTATAATGTTTTGTAATGTTTATGTAATTTGGTCATAATATTTTTATTGACTTTATTTTTCTCTCTTAATTTTATAATTCTTGATTTATAACGAATAATTGATTTGATCCATCAATAAAATTGCAAGCCTTAAGGCGAACATTTGTATTTTTTAATGAGATCTGTAAGAGAATGTTTTTGCCATAAGTTGTCCTCTTTATGCATATTAGAAACTGCGACATATTAGAAATAGCTTGTTATTGAAATTATCCATTTCAATAACAAGCTATTTCTAATATCTAATATGACTGAAGAGAAATAATGATTATGGCTTATTTCTTATTCACGAATAATAATGAAGATCTTAAAAATATTAATTCGTCCAAAATCCTCCAAATTGACAGCAGGTCATATAGAAAACATTATTTATTACCAAAAATGTTTATTAGCACAGTAATTACGATTGTAAAATTAATGAAATTCGAGTCGTTGCACAGTCTGATGATAATCCCCACCAAATCGGACAGCGCTTGCTTTAATTCCGAGGATTACTTTTTAATCCCTCTCTTGTTGCTTTAAAATAATCCCCCGTTATGAATTCGAAACATGGATGCCATATATGAAACAAAATGGCTTCACGTAACTTAATATTTTCAAAAATATAAATAGCTTATTATTTCCTAGTATTAAAATATGTAAATGCAAATAAATAATTTATATATATTTCCATGTATAAACTGTTAAGTAACTATTTATGACTTAGGATTTTTATAAATTGAATTTCTTTAAATTACTTTTATGAAAAAAAAGACACTATATACCTTTACATTAAAAATGTTGTTCTCGATATTTATCTTGCGAAAAATTAGAATACTTTATATATTTTCAAAATGCTCTAGTGATTTAACGTTGCATCATACTCGTACTTTAAAACAAGGCATCGCTGTAACAACATAAGTCAATTTATATTATGCCTCGTCCCTTGAAACACGTTACTCGGTCAACCATATAGTGCACTATGTGGTTAACCAAGTAATGTATTCGATCTTTGAATACATATTTTATTCTGTATCATAGCATATTGCGACACATTAGTGGGTTTGAATGTTGTGGTTTTGTGCAAGATCTAGCGACGTTATAGCTGCCACATAATTTAATAATTATAAATTAAATGACAGATCACAATCTGATTATTAGGTATAAATAAGGATATGAATCCAAAAATTAAGTGTATTGGCAGTATATAAAAAAAGTAATTAATTTTAAGAATGGTCGATTGTTATTCAATGATGATGATAAACTTTTTCTATAATGCGGCATCATTAAACGTGGAGTTTGATTGTTTACTTATACCTTGAAACAAAACCATGTTTCCGCAACGATTGCATAACAGAGGGGTGTGGCATACTAATTACTTACGAGGCAAAGTAATTTTAAAAATTTGATAGCTGCTTACAAGAAATTACTTTCTTTACTAATTACTGTAATATTCTAAATAACATTTATTTTTTCTACAGGTCCGCGCCATGGAGCAGCGGCTGTGCGAATGGCCAACGGGCGCTGATGGCGCACCTAGAGCCATATCGCGTTTAGAGGGCCAAATTGAAGAACAGGTAAGATATTACCTGTGATATTAATATCTAAGCCTGCTAAGCGTTGAGATTACTAGCAAAAAAAAAAAAACAAACTACAACTACACTTATGGGGGACGTCTATGTTTAGCAGTGAACAACTAACGGCTGATATAATGATAATGATTACTAAATTAATAATAATTTTATAAATAAATAAATGCTACTGAATATTTTATATAGTACAATTTATTCCCAAATAGATCTTATATTATAGGTACTAAAAATCTGATAATATATGAATAATTACTACAAAATCGTCTTCATTGATATTCTTTAGACAGGGAATATTCTACCAGTAAAACTGAATGCTTTTGAAGTTTCAAGTTTCTAATGTATACTTAATTGCAAGAGCAAATTGATAAAATATTTCAATAATGGCGAAAAGTTTTTATAAGTTGTTGTAGATGTACAAATTTGTTTTGAATTGTTTGACGTCTCAAGTATCTATGAAAAACTATATAGATTCACCTCATCGTTTTATATTGACAGTAAATTTAATATTAAATAATATGAGAAGATCGTTAAAACAAAAAATCAATCAATTATAATCAATAGGAGTATCATTTTTAGTATCTTTTACGATAATAATTAACATCTTACGAACGCGCCCAAAGTATAGAAAGGTGTGAGGTCACAGGCCTTTAAAACGTCACCAAACGTCACTGACGGAGTTATATGATGTTTTGTTTACGATTGTTTGTTTGTTTTTTTAGGTCTAAAAGTGACGATGTTTTTTGTTTCTAGTTAATAAATCTGAATTAAACATGTTAAACAAATTGCAAATTTAAATAAACTGAAGAAAATACTTGTTTCTATTCATCTTTTATGTCTAACTTAGAAATAATATGAGTGTAAATAGGAAGTATAAGGAGTAATAATTATCTCTTAGCAATTGTAAAAATGCAGGTGAGAGGAACAATATGTACCCTCGAAAGCCAATTATTAAGTTAGCTATATATATATTTATGATACATATTCATATTTTTTATGAATTATTCTATAATGTTTAATTACTTCATTTAGAATTTCCAATTTTACTGTAAAGAACTTTGTTTATTTGTGGTTTGTGAATATAAATTGTCATAGAAATACTCTACTATTGCGTTTTAGGTCTTTTATAATAATGGAATGGTAGCCTCATTTGTATTATCGGTATATGCTGGCGAGGCGTCAGTGAACATAAAATCAGCTCTGTTAACCCCTCGTGACGAATGCAACAAGAATAAATCACGATTGTTTCTAGGGGGAATTATGTGGAAGTCGAACTTATCAGTTCGACTTCCTTAATTACTTACTTTTGGCAATATAATTAATTAATGCAAATTCTTAAATAAATAAATAAATATATAACACATAAAAAAATGAAAAGTATTAACTTTATTGTGTATTCAAAATTATAAAGTTTTTTTTTTAAAGAGAACATTTTATAACAGTGTGCTTTACAAATAATGGTCTTATCATTAAAAGCATTGTGAATATATACAAAATAGAATGTAACATATAAGTTTACCTATATTTCCAGAAACAGCTAAGACTCCAGGACGCGAAGCAGGTGGAAGCAAAAGCGGCTCGTATAAAAGAGTGGGTGACAAATAAACTCCGGGAACTTGAACAGCAAAATCAGCTGCTGAGGGAACAAAACGACCGGTGTAATCAGCAGTTGGAGCTTCTTCGTAATCATATAGCAGCACAGGGAAGCAGGAATTGTGCTGTAAGTATTATTTTGGTTATATATTAATGTAATATCTTTACATAATGCTCCATATTTATCAAGAATATCTTATTTACCACCTATTTAAATATTAAAATGTGTAGTATTAATAAAAAAGTCAGTAATAAGGTATTTAAAATTCTATTATAATATGAGGTATATTTAAGAAAAAGATTTCATTGGATTATTTAGGCTACACAGTGTATTGCCATATATATATGATGATATCTTCCTGTTATCCTTTATCAAGATGTAAGAATTAAAAAATTACTTCAGCTTATTTAGGATTGACTGTAGTCTTTTTCTTGGCTATCTATTTTATCATAAGAAATAATGTTATTTATATTTAAATTGTGATGAAACATCCTCCAGTTTCTGCCTACACGAGCGAGCCTCTCCCTTGAAGTGAGGACAGAGGACGGCTCACCTCGTGCCACTTCAAGCCTGTTGGCTTCAAACCGACGGCGGTCAGAAAGCCTAGAGGGGCCTCAGGTAGAGCCCTTACAAACCCATAGGGTTGCTATGCAATTATTTTGCTCTTCCTTATTTCTTGCACTTGTTTTTCATATTCATTGGTGTTAGATGTACATTCACAATTTTTATTTAAAAAGTAATAAAAAAGTAAATATTATTAGCCTTATATTGGCATGTATCAAATCATTAGAACTCTAAGTTGTCTACTTTTGTATTTTATATCCTTTACTTTTCACCTTTATTGTAAGATTTGTGTTTCTATTTTATGTAATATTAACTGTATCCCGCTTCGACCCCGTGAAATAGTAAACAAAGTATTCTATGTGCTAATTTAAAATATAACCTATCCAAATTTTAATATCAAATTTCATTCAAATGTGTTCAGTAGTTTTTGTGTGAAAGAGCAACAAACACACATCCATCTATTATTATAAACTTTGGCATTTATAATATTAATATTGAATTGGTTTAAAATTTTGTTATTGACATTTTAACAGTGATTGTTGACACTTGTGTTCTAAACATTCATATGTATATTCAGCATAAAATCAAATAATCAAATGAATGTTCTACCACACTTTATTCTATTTAGTTTCTGACCACTAATTCCTCTAAGCTATTACCTTTTTATTTACAATATATATCTCAGTTAACTTTTACATAGTCTAGTTAACAATTGAATGTACAGATTAGTTTTAAGGTTTATGTACCATGTATGTGTACCATAATTTTATCCCCATGACTGGGATAAAAGAGTATATTGTGTATTTGTCATGTCTCTATGTCGAATATTAAATGTAGACAAATTTTATTTATTAATTATTTAATTTATTTATTTACATAAGTGACAAATTGTACATGTAGCGCACATAACACCATAAGGCATTTTCTATCTGTTAAGCATGGCTAGGCCAAGGACTATTGATGTCGGTACAGAAAAAAGCTTACAAAATAATAATAATAATAGTAAATACGTATTAAATACAATTAAACTTTGTAATATGTCTTTCATAATGATTGAATGGCGTTAAATCGCTAAATCATCAGATTCACATTCATATATATAATTATTATTAGATTTTACAGTTTGTAAACGTACAAATACCAAATATAGTTTTAACTCCTCATTTGTGTTTAGCATTCAGTATGTCAGGGACTTAACCCACGCAGTTAGCTTGACGGCACAAATAAGGAGGTTTAATTGCTTAGCAATATTATCTATTTCTTGTTTTACACGCGTGGGTGTAGCCAGCATCATTTATTAGTCTTTATGTAATATTCAAGATAAAAAAGATTAATGTTTTTTTTTTTTTATAAGAGATCATCTATTTTTAACGACTTTCGATATATCCCGTTCTTGTTTTGCTCATCTGATTTATATAAGCATAAAAGTATTTTTCTATTTAAATTAAAAATAAAATTCTATTTATGTACTTTATCCATATAAAATTATATACTTTAAAGCACATAAATTGTAAATAGTTTTTGACAAGAATTATTTGAATAATAGAGAGTACCGCAATGCACAAATTTATTTGATTCATTACATTACAAGTTTAAAGGAAATGTAAATACGGATAGATGCCGAAAGCAACTTTGTTTTATTAGGATGCGTTTAATGATACTAATTAAATATAATTTTAGTCTGCCAAAGGCTTTTTTATATAAAAAAAGCAGCCTTGTATTACAGCTCTACTTAATATATACGTGGAAGTAACCCTGATATGTTTGGGTATTTTCAGTTCACATCCAATTTCTTCTTTTTCTTCCTTCTTGTTTCGTCTTTATACTGTAGGCTATCTATCAAGGAATAAATAATAATATAAAATTTCTTATCTTATTGTTTTCTTCACAGCTTCCTATAAACTCATCAGAGCCCCATTACAGTACACCGGTGCGTCATAGACGGAATCTATCTATTGGTACTACTAACATAGCGAACAACGTCAATGCTGCCACGCCTCCTCTAACCACCATGAACCGAACCATGGATGAGAGGACAACAGCTAGTTTACTGGCTGACGATCTCGCGGTAAGCAAACATTATGAAGTTTATGTTTATAACTAGTGGCCTGTTTCGGCTTTGTATGCGTAGATAGGTAGAGGGTCTCTGTTTTTTTTTTTTTTAAATAAAATTCAGCCCATGTAAGTCGCTGATAATGTAGCTTTCTATAGTTGAAAGGATATTTTTTTTTATTTTATCAATTTTTATACAAACATAAAATCAAATCTTTCCTCTTTATAATTTTACATTTGTATATTGTATCTTTTTTTATATGTTCGTTTTTCCTTGACTTCTTAGATTTCGTTTCCGCGAGAATTTAAAGAAATATCATTGGATTTATAGACCTATATTATCCAGAAAACGCCTGCATAAAATTTCAGCCTTTTAGCATAGGAATTTTGGCTAATGGTATCGCATTTAAGATCATTAGTCATCCATCACTGACCTGTAGGAGGTCGATCCGTGCCTATCTGTTTCTCCATTGTTTATTAATTTATGGTTTATAATAGGCGGCTATTGACGCGATCGTTCAGGCTAATGAGTAGACCGTCGTACCGTTCAATAAAAGTGTACATTTCTTTTTAAAAAGCCGACAGCACACCTGCAATTCCTCAGGTGTTGCGGGTGGTCATGAGTGACAATAGTTACTTGCTGTGTGGTCCCGGCATAGAATGGACCATTCCTTCCGTTCATAATTAAGGAAACTTAATGATCGAAGGATGGGCAACAGCGTCCCCCAAAAAGCTTAACAGCGGTTGCCAACCCGTCTGCCAATTGTGGCAACTACTAGCGAAACCGCCCAATAGGCCTGTAAGAGACCTGTGTTGAACAGGGGACAGTTAACGGCTGATATGATGATGATGTGATGTGATGTAAAAAAAAAAGAAAACTACACGTGATCATGGCTGTGAAACTTGGTAGAAACATCGATTTAAACCCAGATATATTATCATAATTTATTCAAATGATCATGTTATAAACCATGCAGTGTAAAATTTTAAATGTTAATCTGTTTTTTTTTTAAATTAATGTAATAATGAAGCAATAGCTAGAGAACACATATTGCCATCATTATTGAGATCTATACATGTGCTCATAGCGTATTTAATTTTGAAAGTAACATAAAAAATCTATATTTTCAGACGGCTGTAGAGAATTTAGTAGTATTGCCTACGACGCCAAACACGTCAACAGATGGGGACACCACTCACGATTACGCTGAAATTTACACACCGAGCAGAGGTAGGCTTTACTATACTAGCTTTTTGCTCGTCACTTCGTTCGCGTGGATTTAAGACGTAGGGAAATCAACGAAATTGATCTATGACGTATCAAGATAGAATATATACCAGTTTTTAAGTTAGACCTTCAGGAATCCAACTGTGAATCGCATTCAATTTGCTAGTAGTTATTGCGTGATTCCAAAACAAACGTAGACAGACAAAATTTCAAATAATATTGCTTTTACCTTCTATTGCTCTTATTAAGACTTTATATCAATTTTAAATATCTTTCATGTACAGACGTCGTGGAGTTACAATTTTATTGTATTAATAAGATATAAAACAAATAAATTATTCCTTCAAGAGTGTAATCTCTAATGGAATAGTTAGGCTTTTAAGAAAAGTCACAAGCTGTAAGTTCCAACACTGCATAGTTAGCCAGTTTTGAACTCTCGACATCTGAGGTCTATAAATCAGGATAGTGTATTACTTGATAGAGAACTGAATTGACTCTTAATTCTCAAGCCACTACGTTTTCCCATACAGGGTTGCCACTCGAGATATTTTTGTACTGTTTGTATAATATTTATTTTTGAGTGTGTAATTTTTTTTTTTTATTTTCGCTCTGGAAGATTAAAAAATTGAACTCAATATTTTCTGGTAGCGTGAGTAATATTTTTTTTTATTTTCCAGAGCGCACACCAGCGTGGCAGGGTACTGTAAACGTGGTGGTACAGGGAAATAGCAGAGGAGGATCCTCGACTGGGGACAGCTCGACTTCTGAACAACCAAGACCGCCGACGCCACCGTTGCATCGGTTTCCTAGTTGGGAAGCCAAGATATATCAGGTATGAATTAATAACATTCAGTATGAGATAAAATGACCCTAGGTCCCTATATGTGAGTGTTCTAATATTGAAACTATATTCTCCCAAAGGAATATAGGTGGCAAAATGGTAAAGTTTATTGATAAAAACTTCAAATGCCTATTTTAACTGTTTTCTTTTTCTTTTGAGCTAAATTCTCAATTTGAGTGAAAGTGACACAAATAGATTTTGTTTCATAAAAAACAGTGACTTCAAAATTTGCTTAAAGCACGCTTCGTTAATAATTTAAATTTAACCATGTAGTTAAATGAGTTTTTATTTTTAAGTTGTTCGTAAGTCTCAAACACCTATGCGTTACCTCAGTGTTCAATATATTTCGAAATTCAATAAGCTGTTTTTTTTTTAATATAAGCTGTTTAGTTGATTAATTAGGCATTAGTGATTACTTGCTCTGTGTAGGTGTTCGCTTAGTTTTCTAAACTAAACAGCTGAAAAAAATTTAAATTTATATATTTTTACTTAACACTTCGAAAACTCATAAGTAATTATTTAATTATGCATATCGTAACTTTTTTAATGTTGTTTGTATAATTATATTGTGTCATGGTGCCTTTTGTACAAAGAGTCTTATATATTTCCTATTTCCGTGTCAGGTAGCGGACGACGGCCTCCAACAGTCGGTGGAAGAGGAGCTCAGCCCTCCGCCGTGCCCGCGGCCCATGCACGAGTCCACCAGCTACCAGGACATATCCGTCCCTGTGTATGCCACGGTTAAAGGGGTCAGTATTATACTGCGAATAATAATAATACTGCCAAATGGTTAACAGTAGGCTCTGAGCAGCAATCTAATAACTTGCCTGAATATGTCTCGTTTAAAGTTGAAACACATGTCGCAAAACGTGCGTGAGCAAAATGGCAGTCGGAGATTGATAGCTAATATAGAAGGTTGTGGAACTTCTGGTAGTAGTAGTTGTGGTCAATCTTCGAGTGTTGCCAGTCATACATACATTAATGGTAGCAGAATTAAACAAAATAATTCTAATTAAATAACAAGTGATATGGAATGGACTTCCGCAAGATAACACATCTTTCACTAGTTCAATAAAACAGTATACTCTGTTATATCTATGGTACTGTTTATGTCTACAGACGACGGTTACCACTTTCTATCAGGTAGATCATCAACTTGTTTACGTCTGTTAGTTACATAAAAAATGAATATGTTTATTGTTACAGCGTGCTAGTCAAATAAGATCGATGCCTTTTACTGGTGATTCTTCGGATGACTCATCAGATGGGGAGGAGTCCATGGGCGTCACTGTGCATAACACACCACATCACAACCCTGTATTCGGTAAGTAATTGTATAGAGTATCTCATGATTTGTGTTCATAATATATGTGGATGCTGCTATAAAAAGCTTTAGTATAAAAAATGCTAACAGAAAACTAAAGAAGGATATATAAATATATTTTGTACGTATAAATGTATTATACATGGGATTAAAACTGCTTCTAGCAATGGGACATGCCATTGTAATTTTTATTTATCTCGGCAAGTTTAAGCTATGGTGGCCAGTTATAAATTATTGTATATTATCTCCTGCGATGATTTGATTGGCGCTTTGTAATGATATAATATTAATAAATATAGTTCTTTCTTGGGGGCTTTATGCTGCATCCTCCTTTGGATGGACACTGATGCTTACAGGATTTTGTATCTGAAACACAAGAACACTGACACTTCCATGAATAATATATCAATACGTTGGCGTGCTGATGGCTTGCATCCTATTATGAGCTAAATCAGTTAGGGCTTGCAAATAACACACGGCAGTGAGACTATGCGTGTTGTGTGAGAGATATTATAAAACTATTTTTTAAATGCTAATAATACATTTGTGACAACCTTCCTAATGTTTGTGGAGTCTGAAGGGAAATAAGGTTATATTTTTTTCAGTATTGCCTATTTACAAAGCAAAGTGATAATTGATATGAGTGTAGTTCTAGTCCTGTATTTTAGAACATACAGAGACTAACAAATAATTAATTTGCTTATTGGTCGTAATAAGAAACTTGTAAGGCTATTATTTGAACATAATAGTCACATATTCACTATATATTATAATTATTAGTGCATTTGTATTTTTTTTTTAATTGAACACTTAGTTCAAAATAGATAGAACACTTCCAAAACGAGTTTTTAAAATGTTTCCCATTTTTGTGAATTTAATTTTTCTAAAAAATAAAATAATAATAATGATGATATCCAATCATGCATTCATTGCTTTACTAACGTCGCAACTAACTCAACAGGTGCGCAAACATCAAACCAGCTACCCATAAATAACGTCAACTTAACACATACGCTGCCAGCGTCCATACAGCAAACGTCGAATCACGGTCTAGTGCTGACGAATAGTGCCAACGGACAGTGCAGTTCGTCTGACACGAGCTTAAGTGCTAGTAGTCCGTCGAAAAGTGTCAAAACTAGTTCCAGCTTAAGTCCGGCTAAACGATCCAGTAGTGGGTCGCCAAGTAAACAGAGTAAAACGAGAGGTGAGTTAATACTCTAAAATTAAAGATAAAAGTTTGATGTACTTTTTTTTTATGAATTTGGCCGGTCAAGTTTGCCAGCCCATCTGGATAAAGTTACCATAAACATTTTAAGATTTCCAAGAGAAAACTTATTCTGAAATATTGTTAAGAGTGTTCATAAATAAAGTAATAACTTGGAAAAGTTTGGCAACGTCATAATCATATTCTGTTTTCAAAAACAACTCAATAATTTCTTGTTAACTGTTAGCAAATTAAATTGTTAATAATGCCATAATATACTTATTAAATTGTCGCTGAAAATTTGGATTTTTATGGCAAAAAAGTATTTGAAAAATTCCAAAGCAGAACATGAAGGAAGTGCGAAGTTTTTAGTGACAGATTCATATGCAGTATATTCTATGATTAACGTTTTAGTTCGCTATCAGAACGCTTTTTAAATAACCTATCAGAAACAGAAAAATATTTATTTGTTTTTGAAAATAGACAGATACAACGTTGTCATACTGAGTTATGATCGATCGTTATCTTGAAAAATTTTATTTGAAAAAGTATTCACGTTTATTATTATCAAACGTAATAAGATTGCCCATATAAAAGTGTCAAATAAAGTATTCTTAATTTTCAGATACATCGTTCGAGTCTGGGATGTCGGATGACTACGCGATTCCACCGGACGCGGTGTCGTGCAGCACGCGCGATAGCTCGGCAGCGTCGCCCTCACTTGCCTCTCTCTCCCGCGCCAATCCACACCCCCACACACATCCTCACACGCACCCCCACACTCATCCCCACGCCCATCCTCACCCTCAACACCCAACGGACTCGCCGCGTCGCCACGACGCATTAGAGAAGAGCGGACACCTTGCCAAGTTGGGGGGAAAGCTAAAGACTTGGAGGAAGAGATGGTGAGTTTAACCACATATTTTGCCATTAACTTAGGTATTACAGTAACATTATATTAAACTATTTGTGTTTATGTTTTGCTCATATTTAAACTTTGCAATGTTGTCCCGGCACTTAACATTTTTGAGTTTATCCATTATAAATAAACAGATAAAACTTTCCTCTTTATATTATTAGTATAAATGTATAGATTACAACAATTAACAGAACATAAATTCCATTTTCAGGTTTGTATTGAAAAATGGCACATTGTCGTACTGGAAGTCACAGTCCGAAGTGAACAGGAAGCCGCAAGGACAGATTGGGCTCGGTGAAGCGTGCAAGATATCGAGGAACGAGGGCGCGGCTACATTCGAAATCTTCACCGGGAGTCGAACTTACTACCTCACCGCTGATAGTATTGCTACTATGGAAGATTGGATTAGAGTTTTACAGGTATATACATACATATCTATCACGCCTATCTCCCATTAGGGTAGGCAGAAAAAATGGAACACCAAATGCTTCGATTCAAACAAACCTCTTTCGCTTCTTCCACATTCATCTATCTTTACATACATGCTCGCCGGTTACGGGTACTTTTAATTTGGCCCTTCTTCAGCACGTCGTCTATTTGGTCGACATATGTCTGTTTAGGGCGGCCCTTACCGATATTTTATGCTCGCTAAATCTTTGTAATTCTTCTTTCATCTTCTCTGAATGACCAAACTGTTTTGAAATATTTTACTGAAATTTGCTGTAGTCCATGTTACTGGTAGTTGATTAAATTTTTTTTTTTTATTTTACATACTAATTGTAAAACAAAAATGCACACCTGCAATGCCGCTGGTGTTATGGGTGATCATGGGCGGTGGTAGTCACTTACCATCAGGTGAGCCGCATGCTCGTTTGCCCCCAACGTTGTAAAAAAAATGGTGTGGTAGCGAAATTAAAATAATTCTAATCAACTAAACAGTATTATGTTATATACACAGCGTGAGACTTTATATAAAAAGCGTCTATTGGGTACCTCTGCCCTGTTAGATAGTACAGACAGGAGTGCCTCTGTTTATGTCTTTTTGTTCAAAACATGGGATGTTTATGTGAAATTAGTGTGTAGTCCTTGCGAATCGTAATGTATTTGGGACATTGTGGGAATTATGTTTTCCGTGCTGTCCCGGCGAAGAATGGGCCACCCCTTCCTTTCCCGTTGTTATCGTAAGAGGCAGCTAAGGCGACTTATTGGTCGAGGGATGAGCAGCAGCGTCCCTCTTAAAAAATCACCAAAGCCTAACTGCGATTTTCAACTCGCTTGCTAAGCGCAAGTACTGGTAAAACCCCCTAATAGGGTGAGGTTTGTGTTCATCAGTGGATAGTTAAAGGCTTCTGATGATGATGAATAAAATTGTTACTGATTTGTATCTCTTTTAAAAACCCGCATACAATAGTGGAATAACAAGTACCTTTTGCTCTACAAATTAAAGAAACAATTGCTCTGCCAAAAATGAATTATTTTCAAAATATTTATAGCCAATATCACTCGGGATAGTGTAAGGATTCTAATTATACCCCATACATTTAACTCTGATCTGATCACTAATAATTGAATAAGATGGAATAACACTTTAAACTTTGTTGTCTTTTTTTTTTTTTAAATAGAACTATTCATTTGCACCTTACAAGAAGGGACAAGCTTATAAAAGTTAATAGCTTTTACCAGCGACTTTCGTGTGACAAGGATATATTTACTGTCCGGGATTTAAAAGTAGCCTATATCCTTTTGCATCCCATATTATGTATACCAAATCTCATAGTATATAATTGAGCCAATCGAGTTTAATTATGCTGTTAAGTTGCTATAATGTAACAAACTTACTTCCACATTAATAATATTAGTGCAATTATATTATTATTGGTGGCATTTCAAAAACTCATAAACCTGAACTTTAAATATTCCTTTTCTGAGCACTAATTTAAAAATGGGGTTTGATGGCACAAAATAATGAAATATATTTAATATTTCAGAATGTCCAAAGGCGAAATGCAACAAAATTACTACTCAGCAAAGAAGACAATAAACCAACTATTCAAGGCTGGTTAACGAAGGTCAAGAATGGGCACGCTAAGAAAAGCTGGTGCGTGCTTATAGGCAAGATGTTCCTTTATTTCAAATCTCCAGGAGATCAGGTAAGTCTTTCTTGATTTAATTAAATAACAAAATACTGTACGATTAGATTTAATTTATATATGAAAATTTTATTCACATTTGGCAATTTATTTCACAATTGAGAATTTAATTTAAAAATTTAAAACAATTTTTTTATATATCTTCGATATTGATTGACTGGGATGGGAAAGTAGTTTATATTTTACATATGTTATGTCATATATTATATAGAGGTTTCTTCAGGGTCGGCAACGCGCACATAATACCTCTGGTAATTACAGGTGTTCATAGGCTACGGTAACCACTTACAATCAGGTGGGCCGTGTGCTTGTTTGCCATCTCAGTGGTATAAAAAAAATAGAGGCAGATTTCATGCAAAAGTCATTTGTGCGTTTCTTTTATGGAAACAACTGTACTTAGGTTTGAAGGCAGGGTTATAGCAACACGTGAAGTGTACCAGGGACACAGTCTATTTATTTTGTGAAGTGTATAGTGCTGTTCTTCTCTATAGGTAACGGTTGTTGCTTTCCATCAGGTTGGTCGTTAATTAGTGCCATTCCTTAACAGTATAGTTTGTTTAGACTAATCATACTCAACGGGGGGGAAAGGGATTGTTAGCAATGGAGTTCGACATTGCTAGCAATATGCCCTATCAGGTCGACCTCTATGTGGTTCCCCCTGGAAACCATCATGAACAATTCTTGTTAAATTCGTCACGATGGGCTAACTGACCTGCTTCATTCTCATCTATCATCCCTCACTGTTGCCCCGCCGGTGTATACCCATAGTGCTGGTGGGGTTACCATTCCATTATCACCCATTAAAAAAAACACACTAATTGCAAGATAAATCGCAAAAGCACTCAGATTATTATTAATCTAGGGACTTCTGCTAAATGCTTTGCTGTACAATACACAGTAATAGCAAAGTAGTATCATCCAATAGAAGTTGTATTAAAAACATTGGAAATCAGTTAAACACTTATAACGTTGCATTAATCGAATTCTTTAACGCAATGTACAGAACCCAACGGGCCAGATCAACATGCGGGACGCTCGCGTCGAGGACGTAGAACACGTGTCCGACTCGGACTCTGAGGAGAAGAATGACGACACCCGCAACCACCTCACAGTCGCCATCTACCCGCAGCACCAGGTAACTGGGGTCAGTGACATTACTCATCGTATTATTATTAGCACGTAATAAAATTGTTGTATTAGCCGTTAATTATCTATTGCTAAATATAGCCTTTCCCATAAGGGGGATTTTACCAGTAGTTGCCACACCTGGCAGGCGGGTTGGTAACCGCAGTTCGGTTTTGGAGACGCTTTAAGAGGAACTGCTGGCTATTCTTCTCCTTGCCTTAACCGCTTTTTACGATATCTACGTGAAAGGAAGTGGCCCTATTTCTATGCCGAGTTGCCGTATGCAGATTTCTATTCTATGCCGAGACCACATGCCAATGTAGCATCATAATTATAGTATCTATTTGTCCCTCTTAAAAGATCTTTAAAAGCCTAACTTCTTCTAAAAGCATAAATTCATGATCGGGACTTAACGCGACAGTATTACAGGTAAATAGTATTTACATACCTGATTTTTTATTCCCGACATTTCGATTTGGTTTGCACTACGTCGTGATCAAAGCAGGACTGAAGTGAACGGTGTTTTCTGGCAGCCCGCGCAGTTTCTTCGTCTACCCTCACATTGTCACAATTATTTTTTATTGTCTGACGTAGTTTGTTATAAATGCTGTGTCCAAAGACGAAGATAATGTGTCACCCATTGCAGGGTCCCACGTACCTGTTGTTCGAGAGCAAAGCGGACAAGGACTCGTGGTTGTACCACCTGACAGTCGTAAGCGGCGGCGGCCTCAGCCAGGGGACGCATTTCGAGCAGCTTGTTCAGAAGCTCATGGAGACCGATGGAGATCCGAGTAAGTCATTTACTAATCGAATCCCGCGGCGTCGCCCGCGTTTATTAGTTACGGTTAAGTCTTTATCAATAAGAAAAATTATACGGGTTGCCTACTCTAATCTGCATATAATCCATAGTTTATGGATGGAAGGGATTGTTAGTAATGCAGACTACCAGTCCCGTTGTTAGTAATATATCCTGCCATATTGACCTCCACGTGGTCCCTCTTGGAAACCATCGTGCTGAATTTCAGGTTCATCTCATCTATCACCCTTCATTGGTGCCCCGCCAACGTATACCGTTAGCAGGTAATGGAATTATTAGTTATGAGATCTAATAGGCCCATTACTAGGAATATAGGATATATAACACGTCGACCTCCATGCAGTCCTCCCTGGAAACAATCTTAGTTATTTTTTTATGAAATCATTACAATGGGTCAAATGACCTGCTTCATCCATATCTATCGTCCTTTACTGATGATGGTGCTGCCAGCGTATACTGATATCGCAAGCGGGATTACCATTCCATTTTCGTCCGTTAAAAAAAGTAATAACGAATCGGTAGAGCTGTAGGGAGAACTGCATTGGGATATTTCAATAAATAAGGAAATTCCAATAATATTCAATAAAATGCAAGAATAAAAAATGCAGTATGGCGCTCCATATTGATTTTGCTTATTTTTTTTTTCCTCTATCTACAATCGTTTGCTTTTTATTTCCAGATTGCGTGCTGTGGAGGCATCCGACGCTGTTGTATTCTAAAGAAAATATTACGTCGCCGCTTACATCGTTAAATTCCGAGGCGTTGCAGGCCGAAGCTTTAAAGTTGTTTAAGGTATTCATTATACAACTTGGTATAGCACCTTCATATTTTTATTTTTTTTCAACATTCGTATTTGTATAATTTATGTATTTATTTTATTATTTATTGCACAATAAAACTTTGTACTAGCGACGAGTTTAATGCCATATGACATTGTCCACCAGCTAACCATTAGATAAAAGCAGAAAGCGTATGAAGGGCAGATGTGGTGAAAGATATGTGACATAATTATAGTAATAATACTGAAATAATTATACATAATACACAAGAAATAAAGATATATATATATATATATATATATATATATATATCCAAAAAAGAATAAGCATTATGGGATATAGTAACTATTCAGTAATTTGTATCTAGAGTTGGTTTTGTTGATTCAACAAATAATTAAAGTCTTCTTTTAGAAATATATATGTATGTGAGTTTGTTTATTCGACCTATAAATGAAATGTGTTCAGGCATCTTCTTAATGCCGATGCCTGAACACATTTCGATGTATAGGTTATCGTTGGAATTCTCTCATCTGGAGTGATACTGGTTATAAATATTTTGAAAATTGTTTCGTTCGGCGGGAGAGTCGTGATTTGTAATTTGCGAAATAAAGTTTACATATTAAAGTTTATTTGAATATTATTTTTCATCCGTGATTTCGTCTGCATAACCAGCCTGGGAAAAAAACCCAATAGCGCGGGCAAGGTTACTGTTCCATCATCATCCAATAGATTAGTATTTTACTTGCTTTTACCCACAACTTCGTCCGCATGACCGCGATATTTTTACAGACCGAGATAAGAAAAAGCCTACGTCCTTTTCTATTCAACATAGTATGTGTATACCAAATTTCACAGCGAATGGTTACGTTGTTAAGACGCTAAGACATAACAAACAAAGCCATAAACAAACTTACTTTCACATTTACCTATAATATTAGTAATGATTCCTATTGTATTATTATGTACAGTGCGTCCAACTATTCATGTCTGTGGCGGTGGAGCACGCCGGCATCGATTACCACGTGGTGCTAGCGCAGAACGCGCTGCAGCAGTGCCTGGAAGTGGCCGAGCTGCAGGACGAGCTGGCGTCGTGCCTCGCCAAGCAGACCGCGCCCCACCTACACACCAAACACGGCGTGCAGGTAACACCGCGCCGACAAGCTAAGCTTAAAGCAGCCAAGCTTAAGAATGTAAGTTCTATTGTTGTTTCGGGGGGTTGGTGCACTATCAAATATATTGGGTCGTGTATGGTATGATTATTGTTTTATTATCGAATAAATAAAGTCCATATAATAATTGTCTGATACCAGGATGTCATGTGCATATAGGAAGTAAACGTCTGGAGGTTTAAACTGGCCTCCACAGTTAGTCAAGTGGTATATCGATAGTTCGATAGAGATACGTTTCTCGTTTGCGCACGCATGAAAAAAAACAAGGTCAGACATTGCTGTCTGGTTTTATCTCATGCGTGCAATAGCGATAATGTTTCTATTAATAGATGCGTTGTTGTCGTATAGTAAACATCTAGGCTCAACTGAATTTTCAGTTTTTTGTAAGTTTTCTAAATTGGTCCAACGATGAATCAAACTAGAATATTACATTAAAATAGTACAAAAATATGAGCACATAGAAAAAAAGTCTTGTCATTCAGTGGAATTTCTTTCAGGCAACAAGAAGAAAAATTATGGATCCGTCTATCTTTAAACCATACAACATATTGTCAAACTAAAAGTACATCACTAGTTTAACAAATCGATAAATATATGATCATATATATTTGATAGTGTAATAACGCTCTTACACGTGTGGGAGCGGCAGACGAGTTATTTTTTGTTCAGTGAAGTGGATTTTAAGTTTTGAAATCAAGAAGTTTATAACCAAACTGAGATTGAAATCAATTTGACCTTGATATGGCAACTAGTGTAAGCGAAAGAGAGATATATTAAATCGTTGTTTTGCATCTCTTTCTATCAGCTCAGATTGTGATGTAGTGTGATAGAAGACAGTGGGAAATGTCTTACGTGGTCATTAATTTTGGCATTTATTTGATATTGCGATCTCTATTTGGTTTTATGCGTCTTGTAATCAGTTGTAGATTTTTTTACTAACATTTTTTTTTATTTTAATAAATTAATTAGTGGGTTTTAAAATTAGTACGTAATATTAAGCATCAATGGTGTATATTACTAAAGATCAATTATTTGGAACATTGTGCCCATCAAATTATAGAAAATATTTTCTATCCAAAGATCCATTTTAATCGACATTAAATGAGAATTATATGTGCATTTTTTACTTCATATTAAGCTTTATAGAAAAGCAATTAAATAAATTGTAACACTTATGATGAGTAAGTAAAAGACGTCTCACTTTATTGTCTCATTCTATCTCATGCATTGGAGAAAAATCTTGTTTGGTCATTAATAAATTTTAATATATTATTTTTTATTATATTTTAATATTTAAAAGTAACCATTAATTCAGAAAAATGTTTCCATCAGTCATGGATTATTTAAATTTAATTATTATATAGAAATACGTTAAGATTTCATTATGTTCATAAAAATTAGGGTACTACTTTAATATTCTTTTATTGTTCTAATGTTTTTTTTTTACACTAGTACGTGTATTTGTGCTTCTTAAAATCGTTTACCGCTCCCATATTTGCTGCCTATGTTTGAATGTTTTTATGGCAGTTTTAGTATCTGAATCTAATTTAATTAAAAAAAAAATTCATAATAAATATAAAAAAAATTGTAAACTGGCCACATTAGCAGTCAAATTTTTATTTTTTATTTGCAATTCAATGAATAGCTCTTATATGTCTTAAAATATAACAGCTGTTCCATGTAAGGTGAATATAATAATATAGCATGGCTCTTGGTGTTACCACTAGCAATAAATTAAAACGAAGTCTATGGCAAATTGTAAAATAATTGTCATTATCGGTTTTAAATCAAATAATAAATATATTGACATAATCATCGTTAAGGTGTCGAAAAATAATGTACAAATGTTAAGAAATATATAAAAATATATTACTATCTTTTTTTTTTTTTTAATTCACAAAGGATATCAAAAGTATCTTTTCATGTTTGATGGTCTGTATTCTCACCGGCAGAACTGTAAACATGAAAAGGTCGGTTTTTGGGATAAAATAAGTATTATATTAACATAATATGGGTGGGGTGTAAATAAGCAAAACGCTTTATATTCGCAAGGGCTTTAGCTAAGCGGTACGCTTAAACGCTTTTCTCATATACCACCGTATAGTATCAACTACAATCATCACTCGGTTTCGAACTTTGTATTCGCACCTTTTTCATTTATGAAAAAAAAATATCTTGTCTTTGTTACTTACGAACAAAAAATATATATATACAATGTTTCTAAGTAACATCGAAGTCTATTCTTTATGACATTTTCTCTTTTGTTGCATTAAAATTAATTACTTATTATTTGTTGTAAAATATGCATAAATTTGTTGCAATAAAAAAAACAGAATGCAATGTCATTAAAGAATAGTTTATAAATATGTAATAATAATAGCTTAAAAATAATACTTTGCGTATAAAACAATATACACTAACAAACCATTATAAGTAGTAATTGTAAGCTTTGAGTGTTGCTATTAAGAATTAAATCAGCTTAAAGTGTCGTGGTTGATCAATTTGGAATTGTGTATGTGAATAATTTTATTGGCTTCATTGAAATGCGAAATTTTATGCTAAATTATTAATATAAATTGGGTAAGACGTCTATATCGGTAAGAAGGTTGTATTCCAACTTGATCTTTACGTTATGGCAACATTATTTAATAAGGCGAGTATATTTATTTGTTTGTGACCTTAATAATTGTTAATTTGTAAAATTGCAAGTTGCAATATTACGAATTAAATCGCCTTTTGTTTCTTTGTTTAAAATAATTACATAAATTTTTAATTTTATTTTCATTTGAATGTTGTCATAACAAAAAAGCGGTTTGTTTCGTTGCAAACTTTCAAATGGAATGTTGGTGTAAATTTTCCCCGACTTTTTGTTTATTCGAAGTTTTCTTCCGAGAATGTTTGTCCCCCCGCCCCTCCCATAGTTCTAGGGAATGATTTATTTTTTAATTTTTCTCTATTATCATCCATACTCTATCATAGCTAGTTTTCCTTCGCACTTCGAACTCCTTTTAATTAAAGGTTGGTGTTGCAAGTTTTAGTATGTTACCCGTTTTTAAATGAATATAATAGTCGTATAATCAGCTCTTACTATTAAAGGAGGTAAGTACTCGTAAGAAGGTGTAATGTAAGATGTAAAATAGCAAAGTATAACTGCATAGTATGACAATATTTTAGTATTTTAAGTTACAATAAATAGTTTTATAATATTTATTACTTTCAAAGTTATTTGAAATAATAAATTTACCTACTGTTTCAAATTTTATTTAGATACTACGTTTATATATATATTTCCTTTATTAATTTTGGTTTTTGTCCTTATGTCGATTTTGTCTTTTACAGAGATTTTTTTATACAATAAGGAAGTTCATTTTTATATCAATTCCATTGGTGAATAACATATAAAAAGCAATTCTCAGTTATGAATGTGAATTTTAAATTAGAATCGCAATAAATTTAATTAATTATTTTGCTTAACAATTGAGACCTTAGGTTCATTTTCGCGTTGGCCAGCTTATAATATTTTAATTCTCCGGGCAGTTATTGTAGTAAAATTATATATGTCATGTGATTTAAATAATTTATTTTATCTAGCTTATATTATATATTAGCTTATATATAATTTATTTTATTAGCTATTATCATTTTAAAATTAGATATAGTTATTAGAAATATCATCAGGACCCTTCTGAGGTATTCTAGCCACATTAAACTGTATGCTAACGGTTTGTATTATTGCATACATTTCTCACTCAGTCCACTTTTATATATCTCTCTCTCTCTTCGCCTTTAGACTTTTTTGGTTTTTTTTTTCAATAAACTGACTAATTTTACGTTTAATAAGAATATAATTTATATCAATAACAGGAAGTCACATCCATAATATTAATTGTTATTTATAATTATATTGAAAGTATATTGTGCAGTTGTACTTTATAAAAACATTACCATAAAATTGTATCAAACTTCTATACAATTGTATATAATATATACTTACTGGGTGGGATGTTGTATGGGATTGTGTAACCACATGGGGTTGGTATATTAGCACACACACATATGCATAATGCACTCGCACTAACATAATACAATATACTTACAGTAATGTATTGACTTTAAATAGTAATTAATTACTTTCATTAAATAACAGATCATTGTATTGTGGTCTGCTTGGATATATAAGTGTTAGCGGTTTCGACCTCCAAGTCGCTTAAGTGCCACATAATTACACCAATCGCTTGATCAACAAGATAGGATACCTTGTTTGAGAAAAACTCAAATGAATACCTGAGGGCATAATCCAGAACACCGAGACCAGAGTCAATTAAAAAAAGTTCCTACTTGCTGTAACTCTTTTTTAATAGTGAGACAAAAGTGGCATTACTGTGTACTAAAATTATAGATTATAAAATTATATATATATAATATGCCATCATTTTGTAAAAAATAAATTAATGTGCACACAAAGATAATCTTAAAAGTTAGAATAAATCAAGTAGTTGCTGTCGTATCATCTCTGTCTCTTTCTCTCACTTCTATGTTTGTACAGTACAAAAAATTAAAAATAAACTCTTGTCATAATATAATTTACTAACTCAATCGTAAATTATCAAATCAAAAAAAATTTTGAAAAATACTAATAATTATAAATATGCTGTGTTAACAATTTTATACTTTATTGTTTCTTTAATAAGACAGGATCTTGTATGAAGCATACATGATCTAAACATTAGAATAATACATTATAATAATTATTTTATAGACATGAATTTAAGATAAGTATATATTATTTGTATTTATTATTAAAAGAATGGCCTTAAACTCGCTTATAAAAACTTCTACGAGCAACGATCAGTGTGAATGCTACTTTATTATAATTCGAGATTTTTTAAGACCCTCAATGAAAATTTTACATAATAACATTATTTGAACATATTGATTGTGAAATGATATTTGCACTAGATTCTAATTGATTGCACCGATTTTCTAGGTACTCTAAACTGACATGACGTACGTTTTTACTTAACATCTCTTATAACACTGATACAGCATTAATTACTCTATACAAAACAAATTCGCGCACAGTGTACTCTGTACACGAAAGCGGCTACTCTTCTCACTAGAGGGCGCCTCTATTATAAATTGTAGTCCCATAAAAATTAGCTAACAACTCCCACCCCAGTAAACCCAATAGGCCCCCGTAGCATAAAGGCCCCCGTACACGGAACACCAACATTTCATTTGTTCAGCAACTGCTACTGTGCGCCACACAATCGCTGTTCACTTGTGACACGGGCGCCTCGTCCGTCGGCGGGGACAACAAGAGCGGTGATCTACAGCCCAACGCTGCCGGATCGCCTAGCTCTATACAGGTAAACATTAGTCATCCACACAATCCGTATAATCCATTGCCAGCATGGATGAGGATGACTATTACGCTGCGATCGTAGAACTTGACGCGTCACCGATTCGAGATATAATTACATTGTCAGAGCATTTAGCGGTAGATTAAAAAAAATGTAATGACTTTTCAAAAGTGCTTCAATGTAAGTTTATTTGAATAAATGATAAAAAAAAAAATTATGAGAATATAAATTCTCTTTAATTAGTAGTACTCTTTAATTGGATACGTATAGATTGGCCACGTTAACATGGCACGCCCCTCCAACTTTTTACTTTAATGTGTGTGACCATATACAGATATGGTGCTCTGTTTGTGTTTGTGAGAAAAAGACTTCAGTAGCAGTCTGGTGAGAGGTATATATATTATACACCTTGGTCGAAACTTTGTAAATATTTTTAGTCACACATATGTGTTTTCTTTTTTTTTTTTATTTTGGAGAGGCATGCCAAGTCTTCGTGACAATCTATACAGAGTCTATGTAGTTGAGGGAGTTCCAGTCCATTTAGAATTACATTTTATATGCTTTTACATTTTGAAATTTCAAATTTTATGATTCTAGAATATAACCATGAATAGAATACATTTTAAAATTGTTTTCTAAAATGTTTATTCAGATATCGTATAAATACATTTATATCTTAGTCAATAGAAATGAAGAACCTTTTAATTATTCTTCTACTTATACCTCCGTAATATTGGAAAACAAAGTCTTCATATAATTATATATGTCTTTTATATCTATTATATATATATATATATATATATGACGATATTATATTGGTTGTAATTGTAATCATGCCATATCGTGCTACGGTAAATTATAAAAGCGTCTAATCAATGTCTTGTCCAGTGTTAAGGGAGTAACATCTTGAAAAACTAGAGTAGACTTGTGAATTATATTGGTTACTTAGATTAATACTGTTTTGATAAATTTGGTTGTTGTATTTTGCCAGTATGGGTTACGTTGTAATTAAATTCAGACTATATTCAGACATAATTAATTTCTTACCAGAGGGAGACTTTGTACAAAAGTCGATTGCTTGGGTACCTCTGTCCCATTCGTGTTTCAACCGTAAAGCAGTTGTGTTTGCATGGCTGTGTTTCGGTTTGAAGGGTGGGATATAGCGTGAATTTACAGGGTACAGAGGAATAACATCTGAGTTCAGTATTTTGCGAAACAGTATACTCTGTTATGTCCATGGTACTGTTGTCTATAGGCGACGGTTAATCATTCATGTTTGCATTCTAAATTGTATAAAAAGAATATTCGTGTCATAAATTGATCTCGAATCGGTGGTATACATCTCCAGATGCATGACTGATGGTGGTGATAATCTATCACCATCAGTTATGTGAAATAGGAATTAATGTGAGGGTTGCCAATTTAAGCTTCATTACACACTGATTTTTCAAATTTTTTGTTATGTATGAATATTTATTTTTGTAAAATAAAAAAGTTAATGATAATTTTAACAACCATAATGAGATGCATTTACTAATTTAAAGTTTATTAATTGTCATATATTATCTGTCAATTAATACATTTATATTTTTAGAAAAACCGGTCTGAATGAAGCTTAAGCAATTTTATGAAGCCAATAAAAATATTATACCTCCTATAAGATTATTATTTTAATATAACAAGTATGAGAAAGGTGAACAAGGGTCACACAGATCCTTAAGCGCATCCGTATCACCAGCCTTATTATATGGAGAAAATCCCATAGACTAGTAACTGATTAACTGATTTAAACCCCTGTACAAATTTAATAATAAAAAAAAAACTTTTTAATTTACTATTATGAAGTGTTTATATTAATTTTTGTGTACAAAATTTCAAAATCTGATACCCTCGTACAGTTCGCGGTAAAAAAACTTGAACGAAATCACAGAAAGTGAAGCCTACGCAATTGTTTTATATTTGTATGTAAAATTATTACTGCGCAACTAACGTTATCTTAAAATAGTGCACAAGTTATTTCCCGAGATCTATAGCTACTGCGTATGCACTTTATCGCAACGCAACTTGATGTATATTTTTATATGCCACAATTATGACGTCCCAGCTCAGTTCGGTCCAGAGAATTAAATATTCACGATAAATTTCATTTAATATCTTTTATTATATATTCATGGAATATTCCAGGCTCCCCTTTTGTCAGTGGATTGCAAGAGTAACCCGCCCACATACAGTTTTGTCCAGGGCTGGCAACTTTTAGCACTAGCCGTGAGCTTGTTTGTACCAAGAAATAACAGGCTACTTTGGTATTTGAAGCTTCATCTTAGCAGGCATGCCGATTCAAAGTAAGTATTGTTCTTTAACTGTAAATTAATGTAGACTAGCCAAGTAAGACAGTAATAACATTACCATCTTGTACTAAAAAATAAATAATTTAATTTTTTAAACCACTATCGAGTATTTTTGTACATCCTAAAGGTTGACTGGTAGAGAATGCCTATAGTATTAAGTTCGTCCTTTGTAGATAGATACTCATTATTGTTTTTTCCAAAAAAAATTATATACGATACAATGATATAATATAATACAATAAGAGATACAAACAATTAAGTGTGATGAAAAAATGGCGTGACTGATATGTATGTATGTATGTATGAAAAAATGGATGAGGAAATGAGAAAACAATGGGCGACCTTATCGCTAAGAGCGATCTCTTCCAGGCAACCTTTGGATGGAAAGGAGTAGTTATAAACAGTTAGATCGGAGGCACGATAAAAATCCTATCATTTGGACCACATTTTATTGTTCAATAAAGTTTTAGATAAATAAATGAAATATAACCTATTCTTCTATCCACCCCAATTCACATTTTTGTTGAATAATTTTTTTTAGAAGTAGTAATAAACAAATTATTTTATTTGTTTATTACTACTACTACGTATATATAAAGTTTCATGACGACTAGTTGAGATATTAAAGTCTTATTAATATAAATCGGGATATTTAAACAAGAATTAAAATTAACATATTTTTACTTCACTTAAGTAGTTTTTTTTTAATGGATGATAATGATGTGGTAACCCCGTCTGCGCTATCGGTATACACTGGCGGAGCACCAGTGATAGATGACTAATGAGGATGAAAGTCAATCACACGAATTAAGCCACGATGGTTTCCAACCACGTAGAATAGGGTATATTGCTAGTAATGGGGCTATTTGCTAACTCCCCGTTACTAACAATCTCTTCCCCCCCCCCCCCTAAGTAGTTATAATGACTATATAATTCGGAAAATATTTTACATAACTTTAAATATAATATTAATATGTTTAATCTCATTAAGTAATAGAATTGTACAACATTTTATTTTTACTTAAATCAAATTTATTTAAATTTTATGTTCTTTTCAAATCTGTCAAAACGCTGGCTAACATGGTTTCAATCGTGACGTCATTTATATGTAAATATTTAAAAAACAAATGCATTTTTTTTAGAACGGAGTGTGGTAAATACGCCGCGTACTGTTCGCGCGCTCTCGAACGTACGATACGCAACGGCGGGCGCGAGGACAAGCCGTCAAGGATGGAGGTGCTCAGCATACTGCTGAAGAACCCGTACCACCACTGTCTGCCGCACGCTATACCTGTACACATGCTCAATAACACATATCAGGTACATACATACAAATAACTATGAGGCTTTATAGCTTTCGTACTGAAGTGTGACTATGCCGTGACTATCTGTATATTTAAAAAAAAAATCAATGTTTGTCATTGTGGTTACGATTATCCTGTGGGTGTCGTAATAGGCGATTAAAAAAAAAATCAAAATATTTATCATGAGAGATGTTTGGTTTACCATTCAATGATAAATTAGTCACGATTTTCCCGTGGAGGGACCTGATAGTGTATATTGATAATCCTTTCCCCCAGGGATGATAATGTATATATATATATATATATATATATATATATATATATATATATATATATATATATATATATATATATATATATATATATATATATAATGATTAACCCCGCCTGCGCTAACAGTATACGTTGGTGGGGCACCAGTGATGATAGGTGAATAATGAAAAAGTAGGTCAGTTAGACCATTGTGATGAATACATCTGAAATTCAGCACGATGGTTTCCAGCCGCGTGGAGGTCGACCTGACAGGGTTAAAACGTAGCACATTACTAACTATCCCTTCCCCCGCATAACTGCGGTTGCCAAGCGTGGCCAAGTGTGACAACTCAGTAGTTGCCACACTTGGCGCACGGTTATGTCAGTGCATAACCCTGTAATAGGAAAGGCCTTGTTAATGACTGATATGGTGATTGATGATTCGAATAATGATGATGTTCAATAAGATCCTTATTAAGATTTCAATTTTTTTTTATACACAGAATAAACAAGAACGGCCCTTATTAAGATTTCTGAATTTTTCGCCCATGTAAATGCGTTGCCATTCCTGAGGACTCAGATGTTATTCCTCTGTACCGTAAATTCACGCCAATTTTGTAAAGCAATAACCGTACCTTCCGATTAGGATTATTCTTTATCGATTTTCAATTATTTAGTAATCGATATTGAGAATTACGTGTATAACTAAAATAATGCGAAGCACGTTTGTTTTTATTGTTTAGTGTGTAGCTTACTTATTGTTTCTTAATTCTAATTTTCAATTTATTAAGACTATTCGTGTTTCAACCGTGAAGCAGTTGTGTTTGCATGGCTGTGTTTTAGTTTGAAGGGTGGGATATGGCGTGAATTTACAAGGTACAGAGGAATAATACCTGAGTCCTCAGGAATAGCAACGCATGGGGTATCATGGGCAAAACAGTATTCTTTGTTATGTTCATGGTACTGCTCATGTCTATAGGCGACGGTTACCACTTACAATCAGGTGGGCCGTCAGCTTAATTACCATTTTAATTTGCATAAAAAAAGACTATTACTAAAATATTCTTTAGTATTTTATTATAAAATTTTACATTTATTCCTATCAAAGATCTATTAAAAGTTTAATATTAACACAGGTTATAAGTTTCGATGGCTCAACGACAGTGGAGGAATTCTTATCTACACTAAGCACAGAGTTGGGCTGCAGGGAGTCTGCGGCTTCAGGATTTGCACTGTTCAGCGACGACCCCATAGAAAAAGATTTGGAACATCATATTAAACCAGACAAAAAGGTAACACTCGTCGAAGTAATCATTCTTCAATTAATGTTTTAGAGGGAGATTAGTACAAAATATAGTATAATATAAAAAGATGTTTCTATCCCACTTGTAGTTCTATCATTAAGTGGGTGGCTTGTACAGAATAACAGTCTTATAGCAGTAAATAAACTATACGTACTAATTAATTCTTTTTTGTTTTTTAAATGCAGTCGGTTGTCAATGAAGGTTTCTTTCTCATATAGGTAGTATTATGATTTATATATGGTGGGATATGGCAGTGTAATTTCGTGGTATGGAAAATAATATATATACCCTCAGGAATAGCAATGCGTGAAGAGTATCGTGGACGTAATATTTTTATGGGGGGGGGGGGGGGAAATGATTGTTAACCTTTTAATATATGCTCATTTAATAAAACCATCATGTTTAATTTTATTCATAATGGTAATATGCATACATTCTCACTTATCATCTTCCACTGGTGTCTAGTCGGTGTATACTAATAGCGCGGGCAGGGTTACCAATCCATTTTCACCCATTAAAAAAAAATCTGGGAAAACTTTTATATCCTATTTACTAATTTACTTAAATTTATTTCTAATGTATCCCCCTTTTTTCCTCAATCCTGCAGTTCCCAGTCCTTTCCGCGCCTGACAAACCACCAACAAATGCATTCCCAAAGAGGGTTAACGTCAGGGTCGGTCGTAAAACTATGAACCAATTTTTTTTGTAATATGGATAAAAAATATATTACGTCGACCCCAAATAATATTTAAGATAAGTGTAGGTGGATGATGATGAATTAATATAATAAAATGATTATATTTATATTCCAGTTATGTGACGTGATATCAAAATGGGAGACGGCGCTCAGAGAGAAGGGATCAGGAAAGTTCGAGAACTCGAGAGTGATCAGACTTACATATAGGAATAGGTTATATTTCAAAAGTTCAGTTCGAACGGAAACTGATAAGGAGAGGTTACTGCTCTGTTATCAAGTCAATCAACAAGGTAAGATTTATATTGTTGTCGTATAATTTTATTATATATACTTTAAATTGAACATATGAATTATACTAGTGTGGCCGAATCTTAAATTATATAGATATTGTCCCCATATAAATGCTTCGAGAAAAACGAGTCAACTTTTTCATATAATTTTGCGTTATAACTAGTTATAACTGATTCCTTTATAACTTCTATAATTTTGACCCATACTTTTTGAATTTTTTTTTATATACAACTTAGAATGGCAAACAAGCTGACGGCCCACCTGATGAAAAGTGGTAACCGTCGCCTATAGACATGAGCAGTACCATGGACATAACAGTATATACATATACTGTTTCGCCCATGATACCCCCCATGCGTTGCCATTCCTGAGGACTCAGGTATTATCTATTGCATATGCATCTATATTGTATAAATGTTTTTTGATAACTGTGAGTAATTATGTATCTACATTTATGATTAATTTATGTAGGTACACTATTCTCATATTATCAATTCTGTCTGTACACAGTTTCAAATCCGAAACACAGCCATGCAAACACAACTGCTTCACGGTTGAAATACGAATGGGACAGAAGTACTCAAGCAATCGACTTTTGTACAAAGTCTTCCTTAATGCGTAAATGTGTTATCTTTTTAATGCGTAAATACTCATTTTATTTCTTAAATAATACGTTTAAGATACATTGTATATAGAACACTGATAAAAAAAAAATAGTCTTCTAATTGGACAATTTCTTTAAAAAGTTTCTTAAAAATTAAATAATAACACCAAAACACCCTGATATTTATATCATTCGTTTAACGTAAAGTCCCTTCCACAGTGGTAGCGGGCAGGTTCCCTGTCACCCGGGAACTGGCGGCCGAATTGGGCGCACTTATGGCGCAACTAGATATGGGCGACTACGCTGCTAGCAACTCGCAACACAACCAGCCACTGGCACACAGGTTCTACCCCTATAGGTATAGGGCCGGCCTCAGCAATGACGAACTCAGGTGAGTACATTGTGTGTATATTTTAGGCATAAGTAACATCAGTATCGTTCTGGTATCTATGTATAGGATTCCTTTACTGAAATATTATTGAAATCGGTATTTCAATATCACTCATACCAGATATCTATATTCATTTCGATCGGGTCTTGATTTATATATATATATATATATATATATATATATATATATATATATATATATATATATATATATATATATATATATATATTGGATAACCGATATACGGTATAATATATCCGTTACTCTTTATTTAAATTTTAAATTTATTGAAATAAATTAAATTCCTTAAAACAATCCATTTTACAAGCAATGGAACACACAAAGAAGGAAGGCAAAATCTCGCTTTAAACCATAAGCTCGCTTATTACCACCTGTGAGTTAGAGATCATCGACAACTTCCGTAGTCCGTCTTTAAACCAAATTAAGGGAAGCAAACTGGTGTTCAGATTGCAAAAAGAACGTTTTTGCAATCGAAGGAGTTTCATTTATGGTTATTTAACCACAAAAAATCGGACGAACTAAGAACCTCTTTTTTTTTGCAAGTTGCTTAAAAAACGAGTACAAAAAGGATTGAAAATATAGAAATCGGATGTTTTTCATGCGAAGCAACACAGAACAAATATTTATAATTGTGGTTCACTAAACATATCGTTGTTACATTTTCCACAGAGATGTAGAAGAGAAGCTGCGATCAAAATGGATCGCGCTGAAGGGTCGCAGTACGGCGGACTGTGTGCGAATCTATCTTAACTGCACTAGGAAATGGCCTTTCTTCGGCGCCACCCTGTTCCAAGCTAGGGTGAGATTATTTAACTTTTTTTTTATACAACTTAGAATGGTAAACAAGCCGACGGCCCACCTAATGGAAAGTGGTAACCGTCGCCTATAGACATGAGCAGTACCATGGACATAACAGAGTATACTGTTTCACCCATGATGCCCCCCATGCGTTGCCATTCCTGAGGACTCAGATGTTATTCCTCTGTACCCAGTAAATTCTATAATCTATATTTTCCTGTCGATTAAGATCAGATTAGATTAAATGTAAGAGCATAGTCATTCATGGAATGAATGGTATTTTTTATGGCTATAATGGAATGATTGATGCATAGATCCGTGATAGAAATATTACGAACTAGCGGCCCGTCCCGGCGTCGCACGGGTGGACATTTTTACATTTCTAAAATGTCCGTTAAAACTGCACACGTGACGGAAGCTTAAAAATGGAGTAACTTCTTCCGATTTCCCAACATTTCCCTTCACTGCTCTGCTCCTATTAATCGTAGCGTGATGAAAAGTATACTTTAACCTGCCCAAGAGTATGAAGAATAATTGTACCAAGTTTCGTTAAAATCCGTCGAATAGGTTTTGTTTCTGTAACGAACATACAGACAAACAGACAGACAAAAATTTTACTGATTGCATTTTTGGCATCAGTATCGATCACTAATCACCCCCTGATAGTTATTTTGGAAATATATTTCATGTACAGAACTGACTTCTCTACAGAGTTATTATAAGTATAGATTACAAATGAGAGTAAAGTAAGGTCCAATAACCGTGATGATTTCAGAGGAATTAACATCTTTCTATCCTGTTCATTTCAAATTGAATATTATTATTATATATTCTTTATTGCACTAAAACATACAGTAACAACAATAAGTTAATAACAATGTTAGCATAGGCGAACTTATCTCTAAAAGAGATTTCTTCCAGTCAACCTAACGCAGTGGCATAGGAAGTAGTGAGTGGGCAGTAGTAGTGCAAGACAGAAATTTAAATAAATATTTACATAAATTATTAAATTATTATATTATTTTAAGTTAGTAATTGTGATTATTTTACACGGGATAAAATGTTTTTTTTTTATTTAACTGGGCACCTTTACTTGTATTATTATTGCAATCTAAACCGATTATCATCACCAGATTGATCATGATGATAATGATTCTTTTCAGATAAAACAACCAGATTTATCAATGGTGTGGCTAGCGGTGTCCGAAGAGGGCGTCACTGTGCTCGAACTGGCTTCCATGTCAGTTATCGGCCGGTACGCGCTCAACTCCATTGGACTCTTCGGCGGTCTGCAGGTCAGTTATCAAATCCATTAATGTCAAATTACCGCTTACCATCAGGTGGGCCGTATGCTTGTTTGCCACCTCAGTGGCATAAAAAATGAAAAAAAAATAAAAGCATTTTTAAATATAAAATATGGGTATTAATTTAATCAATTGATTTTGACCACAGGATGACCTCATGATGCTAATAGACGGGGACGATGCGACTAGTCCTGTTCATAAGATGTTAATAAGTCTAAATAAACCAAAAGTAAGTAAAACTATCTAATCATTTTAGTTTAAATATAGAATTTCTTATTTAGTGTATTTTATATCAATGGGAGTTTATAATATAGTAATCGCCACACTTGGCATTATTTACTAGCTAAATCTTCTAATAGTAAACTCCCATAAGGAATAGCCCCGTCTCTTATGACAGTTTAAGGGGGATGCCTATCTTCAGCAGTGGATAAATAACGGCTTTTATGATGATGAAAAAGGCTCCAGGTCTTTCACAATGCAAGCAAAGAACCCAGTACCAAATTCTTACGAATTAAGTTATAGTATTTTCAGATTACAGATACTTTTATTCTATAATTTAAACTTCGTTGATAACTCTATCCTATCAGTCATATCTGATATGTCTAAACAGAGAAATGCGTCCCGAATTATTAAGTACCTAAAAGTTGGGAATATGACAAAGGTGTCGAACAAATATTGTGCCTATAGAATTTCTAAATCGATTACCAGATGGTGGAACTGACGCACCTGATAGCGGACTACAAGAACGCGCTCCTGCGGCCGGGCGGGGGCACGCCGCAGATGAACTCGCTGACCCGCAACGGCAGCCACCGGTCGGTGCGCGCGCCGCCGTCCACGCTGCCGCACTCGTCGCCGTCCACGCTGCCGCACGCCGCGCACGTGTCGCACTCGCAGCACTCGCAGCACTCGCAGCACTCGCACCACACGACCGGCCACAACACGCTCAACTCCGCCACCACGGCCACGCTCGGTTCCGAGCGCGCCGCCACGCTCACACTCAGCTCGCACGGCCCGCCCGACCTCCTCAAGTCCACGCCCGACCACAAGAAGCGCGCGCACACGCACGACGGCGCGCTCGCGTGATACCGCCCACCCACAGCGATCGATCGATAAACTAGTGCTTGTACTAATGGTGCTCGACGACCGGAGTGACGTGTAGCGTAACAAACGTTACGTTGCAAGTTACGGCTCACGTAGCAAGTGTTGCGCGACGGGCTCGAGTGATACGCTGGTATACTCCAACAGGGGTTCGTAGTCAGTGAGTGATAAGTACAGTTACACTTAGTGTCCTAAAGTGTTGGCCGGGAACGAGCGGTGTAATGTTACATGTTATGTTACAAGCATGCTACGTAGTAAGTGTTGTTGTAATATTACACGAAGTATAATTGTGCTTGGTTTCCCTAAAGGTGCGTATTGGTTGGGAGTAAACAAAGAAAGTGAACCGTGTAATACTAAATAAGTACGTTCGAGGGCAATGTTACGTAGCGTGTTCACTTGTGTTAATAGTCGTTTCTGAGCGTTACGTCTACGTTGCAGCGTTACATTACACTCAAATACTTTTTGCACACGCGCTGTAATATAACGTTCAAAGACGAATGAGAATACGCACTATTACAATTTTTAAATGTCAACATGATCTTGTTGAATTTTGTAATAAAACGAATTCAGATTTATTTCTAGCGCGATACGAAGGGTTTCATTGGTGAAAGTTGACCATTCCACGAGATATGTTCTATGTAAATGGGAATTCGATTAATTCTAAATATACCTCATATTTTGTAGCTGACAGTTCGGCCTCTCGATCGGCTCGGTAGTTCGATAGTTAACGTAATTTATTTTTTCAGCCTTAATATTTTAACGGTTGCTAATTTAGGGGTTCTGTGCGGCTTATACGTATTTATACATGATGTGAACTCTATAGGTGTATGTTTCTATGCAGTCTAAAGCCAATTTTGTATGTAGCTATGTATGCATATGTGCAGGGTATAATAAATGCTATGTAGGAACCGGGCATAGTTATAGTGACAAACATTTAAATTATATAAATTTACAAAGCTACATTCAATGGAATTATATGTTTTTGTAATGAAATGTAGTAGCTGAATTATACTAGATGTACTTATAAGTTCAACTTTTATATGAAATCATGTTTTTTCTAACGTCTGTGAAATAAAGTAAAAAAAATTGTATAAAATATAGGTATAATTATACAGTTTTTTGTCACTTTATATCCCTTTTTTACATTATGAAAATAGCGAAAAAAATAAATCAGTAAATGTTACATGACAACAATTATATAGGTCAGTACGTAGACAAGAAACATTATTTGAGCGTACTTCATTATAGAATATTTAGAAGTGCATCATGTAACCCTACATAAAGGACTGCAAGTATTTCGTTCTAGTATAAAAAAAAAGTCCACTATAAAAGTATCTCGAATACTGTTCCTCGTCTAAACAGACACCAAAATGCCCTACGTATGTTTTTTAAACCCTGTTTATTGCTATATCGTGCTTAGAAACTGAATATATATTTTAATTTTTCAAGGAGTTACCGTTAACTTGATTTACTAAATGGTGTCTATTTATTTAAAAAAAAAAGGTGTAGTAATATGCTATCTACAGTCAAGAATATTTCTTTTTCCTTAATGTACTATTTTAGTACAAATATATCGAGAATACTCTGAATGAATCTCATACAAATCGAACACTTATTTCATATGACATAGATATAGTATGCTACTATAGAAATAATTACTAGTGCAATCGTATTGTTCCAAAAATAAAACCCTCCAAAGCTTTAATTATCACAAAGAGCATCACAATTTTAATTTAAATTCCCAAAGAAATAAGGTTCAAATTACAATACATGTATCTCTATTTGTCTTTGCTTTAGTTTAATACTGGCTGTCTTCATTTTTCTTCAAAAATATATAGTAATAAAGAGAAAAGAAATAGTAAGGATAGCCACACATTATGTATTTTATATGTAACACATATATTTTTCCTCCCTTAATCATAAAAAACTAAAACCTACAAATCTACTTTAACTATTACACTGTTTTGTTACTTTCTTTCGAATTGCGGATGTAGTTTAAAAGAAAGAGACATAACAGTTCAATAGATAAAATATGTTTATGAAAGGTTTGATATTTTTATTAATAAGGGGTATTACAATTAATATTCTATTTAATTTAGGAGGGTGTTAAATCGACTGATATTATTCTAAAGTCATCAACGAATATAATAACTTTCTAGATCTAATATAGATATAGATTGAATGACGATCATTATGTGCTGTTGATGTGAGCTATATAATTAGTGTGTTATTTTAATATAATTACACATTTATTTATTACATTAATTTTCCTTTCTCATTCAGGAAAATGTGCTAGATTTCCTCAACATTATACGATTATTACAATAATATTTATTTCACGTTTATTTTCAATTGAAATTTAATCATTTTGTATTATAACATTTTATTTTCTAAATATAACAAGTTGAATTCGAATTTATTAGCATGATTTTAAGGAAGTGTTCAACTAAATGGTACAGAATCTATTCACAAAAAAAAAAAAATATTTGTGGTTTATTTGACATATAACTTGACAGCTACGTATATAATGTGAGAAGCTCATATTTTGTCGATTTCGATTCGTTTTTTTTTAAGAGAAATGTTCTGTTTCACTAGTAGAACATTTATAAGATGCTAAATAAGGCTGGGTCCACACTATCGAGCCATCCTCTGGTTCTTTCTCGGTCCGATCTCGGTATGGCAAATAGAAACGCTTTAAGATGGTTCTTGACTATAACTTTATATTTATGTATGTATTCTTTATTTTGTATAGGTATACATTATTATTATTTATTATTTTCTTTACCTATCCCAATAATGAAGTACTGCGTTTGAAATATTTTGTTAATGCCAAAGGTTGACTGGCAGAGAACCCTAATAACATTAAGTCTGCCTTTTGTACCTTATTTTGGTCAATAAAGTTATTTAAATGAATATAACTGGGCTGTAATATAAATACGCACATTGTTTCTTTCATCATTATTATATCAGCCGTTAACTGACCACTGTTGGACATAGGCCATCCCCATGAGAATAGTCTGCTAGTAGTTGCCACGCTTGGCAGGTTTGGCAGCCGCAGTTATTCTTTAGTGATATTTTAAGAGTAACTCTGCTGTCTATCCTTCGACCATTAGGTTCCTAAGGTCGCCTCTTACTTCCACGGCAGAGAAAGGACGGCCTATTCTATGCCGGGACCACACATTGTTTTTTAATAATATTTTATCGGATCGAGTACGGAATTATAGTGTGGATCTAGCTTAATGATTGCTATTTCATCCTGTATAAACGTATTGTATACTGTTTTCTTATTATAAAAAACCTAATTGTATGTATAATTTATAACTTATTTTGAATATTGTTCAATTTATATATTTTTATACAACGTTACCAAGCTTATATGATGTGATTATTTACGCACTTTCATACAACAAATGCACTTTTTTCCAAATCTTTGTCATTGGGTTACTTGTACCGAGACCAGTTTTGTGCAAATCGATTTCAGTTTTATAAGAAAACCATATTTGTTAAAATACGGACATGTTATTTTTTTTTTTTTTATTAAATTTATAAGCAATATTTGTTATATGCGAGGTGTAACTAGAAAAACTAATTGCAAAGAGCTACAAATAATTGTTAAAAAGAATTAAAACCATGACTTTGTAATAACGTATTGGTAATTCCCGATAGTCTCCAGTACTTTAGTTAGGTACATAAAATGTTAATTTTATCTTATATTGTTCTATATTTTACTTTACATTCAAACCAAAGATGTTATACTATATAATAGTAAATCATCTGAAATTGTAACGCAAAAACAGTTTCCTGTTTTTTTTTTTTTATACTACTTAGAATGGCAAACAAGCTGACGGCCCACCTGATGGAAAGTGGTAACCATCGCCTATAGACATGAGCAGTACCATGGACATAACAGAGTATATTGTTTCGCCCATGATACCCCCCATGCGTTGCCATTCCTGAGGACTCAGGTGTTATTCTTCTGTACCTAGTAAATTCACGCCATATCCCACCCTTCAAACCGAAACACAGTTAAATTTTATAGGAATTACCATAACAAACTCATTTATTGAATATGCATACCACTATATTGTATAAATATTTTTTGATAACTGTGAGTAATTATGTATCTACATTTATGATTAATTTATGTAGGTACACTATTCTCATATTATCAATTTTTATTTATAAACAGTCTAACAAAGAAATTTTAAGCAAAGATTTAAACTTTTGTCAAATTAAATGTTAACTGATTAAGTCTAAGCGCTAACAAGGTAAGTCATTAGTAACTGTTGAACTTCTGGCCATAGGACCACGACACTCTTAAGCAAAGCGTAAGCAAAAATAATTTATAATTAGCAAATAAAGGTGGCGAGGAAATTAAATGTACATATGCAACTTATAATGGTAAACAAGCTGACGACCCATCTGTTGGTTATAAACAGATGGGTCGCTTACAGATATAAATAGTGATAAAACCGTGGAATTAATTAATAACATTAATTAAGAGATACCACATTTTTATGTACCCAAAGTACAGTTCTATCGGGAACAATAACCAAATGGAGGTAGTCGTTGTAGTACATAGACCATAGAGGCTAACCCTTCAGTGTTCGACCAAATCGCTTCAATGAAGTTCCACGGGCAGGCTATTCTGCAGACTGTCGTGTGAATTTGATACGCAATTGTAGACCCAAGCGCGGTTTAATATAAACTCAAATTTGCTTGTAATTATTTCGTCAATGGACTATCTATTGAGTGGGATTTGTACTTCTATAAAAGTACGTGCCATTTTTAAATTTTATTTGTTTAATTTAATAATATTGTGATGCTTGATCTACAATCTCGTATTCCGTAGTGTCGCATGGACCGCTATTAATAAATTTATACTATAATAGATTTATAATAAGGTAACATATATGCACTTTTTGGCATAAACACTAAACTGTTGATATAAATGTGTATAGAAACATTTGCAATGTATATTTTACATTAGAATGGACGATTTCTTTATTTTGTATAAGCGATATTACTTTGTAAATCAAACGATAATTTATTGTGTAGGTATTTATTATTTTTGTTTATAATTATTGGTTATTTGTATAAATTCATATGATATACAATTCTATTGTTTTTTTTTTTTTTTGTTAATAATGGCCTAATTAAGACTAGAAGACTAATACGCGTTGTGGGCCTAATCTCATTAATAATTTTGGTGATTTACTAAATTTTTGTTTGACGATGTGAGAATAAACGTATTATTTAAACTGTCCAAGTTTTTTATTGCTCAATATTTATAAATTCCTTATCATGATATTCTTTTAAGCTAATCTCCGAAACTACTTAGCCGATTTTAATTTTTTTTTTATAATTTAGTCATATGATAGGCCTAGAATAGGCCACTCCTTTTTTTTCCTATAGGTGTCGTAAGAGGCGACTAAGGGAGCTTAATGATCGAGCTATGGGCAGCAGTGTCACTCCTAAAACATCTCCAAAGACTAACTGCGGTTGCCAACTTTGCCTAAAAAGCATGACAACTACTGGCAAAATCCTCCTTATGGGAGGGATAACTTTGTCCAACAGTGGTATTTTTTGTTCCAATTTAAAAGAATAACTTAAATCATGACAAGAAGAAATGAATATGGCAGGTGGCAGTTGAGGGAAAGGTAATGTTGACCAATTCAAGTTATATTTGCTGTCTGGAAATCAAAGAAAATCCCTCTTTTTAATATAATTATATTGTGGATAAATAGATAGATACTCTTTGTTATTTCCTCCAAAAGACCATAATATTTATGATTCTTATTATAATATAATGAGTAAGTTTTTATTTTAATGTAATTCGAATAATAATATGAATAATATAACAGGTGAGGATGTAATTAGTTCACTCATCGTGATGAATTCATCAGAAATAAGTATTGCAGTTATTGACAAAAAACGAAATGAAACACCTACTACATTATAAAAATTCCTCAGCGCCATCTATCGAATTATTATAGTACTGAACTTAAAAAGTAGTAAAAATATTATTTTATATTATTATTGATTTCACTGTGTAACTTTCAACCTTATTACGAAAATTATGGGAATTATCTTAATGAGGTAAACTGACAGAGCTGAATTAGCTGAATGATTGATAGTTGCTTTATACGATTTTTCTATATACATTTTGCTACCCCTATTTCACCCCCATTAAGAAGCAGTATGAAAAAAATAAATATGTATACTTTAATCCTGAACATTATTGTATAATTCTGCAAAGTTCAAAGCAAATCGAATGACGCAATAAAAAGTTTAATAAAAAAAATTATAACTCATTCACCCCGCTCCCTGTAAGTTTTTCGCAATAAAAAGTAGTCTATAATCATCTTCAGGATCTCATCTATCTCAATATCAAATTTCACCATAATCGATTCAGTGATTTAGGCGTGTAAGCGTAACAAACAAACTCACTTCTGCATTAACATATGTATGCAACAAAAGAGGTTTTAAATTAAAGTTTTCTTCTATCAAGTACGGATTAAAATATATTTTAATCAAGATGTAAGTGAATGAAAAAAGTATTCAAATGTCCGGGGTGAAAGCTCCAAAATCAGGGGATTTATGCTTTCGGTCCTGGGGGGCAGGTTATAGAGATGTCAGCCCTAGACAAATAGATACTATTTTTGAAAATAATTGTTTTGGTTTCCTTTCGAAGAGAGAAGAGTAGTTAAAAGAGAAGTAATTCTCTCTTTATTTTCACAGGAATAAATCTCAAGGGCATTTGTACAGACTACCTAGTTAACTGTATTGGTACAATAGCTATGTTGATTCATACACAATGCATTCCTTTGTTATCCAACCCATGGTTTCAAGTGTCACATTATTATAGTGAATGTAACTTATCAACAATATAATATACTCTGGAAAAGTACTTTTTAAATGCACGATAATGAAATGGTAAACCCGCCTGCCCTAACAGTATACGCTAACGGGGCACCAATATGAGAATGAAAAGGCAGATCAATTAGCCCATCGTGATGAATAGACCTGGAATTCATCACCAGATGGGTTCCAGGGGGGACTACGTGGAGGTCGACCTGTTAGGGTATACTGCTAACAATGGGGTTACTAGATCTCAATACTAACAATCCCTTTCTTTCCTATTAATGGACATGTATTTATGATATAATAAAATTACATTAATTTTATTCATTGTCATCATACATATTAATTTGTGCAAATAACAATAATGCTTGCTCTGGCCACACACAATAAGTACGTAATCAGACGAATGGTTTCCGACCGGATTCGATTACCGAATCAAATGCAACGTTGAACATTTTGTACTCGTAAATGCGCCATTCAGCACCACACACAAATACACACACACACAAGCGGTTTGTTCCGTGTCGTTTCTAAAACAGTGTTACCAATTAATTATATTTTTTACTTTTTCGTTTAATTTTTTCGATTTCATTTAACATGACGATTTTAAATTAGAGATTTTTTTGTAACGAAATTAAATTTGTTACTTTAGTCAATGTATAAATGCACTAAATTGATTACTAAAGTAAAATAGTAGCACCGGTTTTTCTATCATTACTAAATTATGGTCACTTCACACGGTAATGTAAATAAATAAATAAAAAAAAAGTCCTTTACTTCTTTATCCTTAAAATTACTATTTCGAAATATTGGCATTTGTTTGTTAGTGTTTAATTATTTATTAATTAATGTTTTGCTTATTGTATAAATGTTAGTAAGAGTTAGTTGTGTTATTGGATATGGACCCCTCCTCGGGTGAAAGCCTCCTTCAGTCCTTTCGAAATTTAATGAGATATATAAGCCATAGTTACGCTTAATACTTGTCGACATCTACTAAATCTTTATTTATTTAGTCTTTATTGCATACTAACATTTGTATAGACGGCAAAATATCGTATCCCATTTTATATGAGATAATTATTATGTAAAAACAGTAAGAGATTGGCAAAAAAGCTGTGAAATATTGCAAGTATAATAAAACAGATTACCTAATATAAGTTTTTATTTTAGTATTCATCAAAAAAATAATTTCTTTGCATGTGGCCGTAGTTTAAAGTAAAAAAATGTACAGTGATACTGGCAACATATAATTTTAGGCTGCGGTTACTTACACACTTGCGAACGAACTATGAATAATAATAATTAGTATGTTATTTTTAGCAAAGCAATAGTGATGTGTCGATTTATTTTTACTTTAACAATGAATCGATAATCAATATTTACGTAATTAAAAAAATGAATTTCGATTAACATGTAAAGGCGATGTCAAAGAATATTACCTACACTAAATAACTGTCTGATGGGTCTAAAGCGATACAAATTGACCTGTTAATCTGTGTAATCAGTAAATGGTAATCGTGCAATTATTTTCAATCGACTTAAAAAAGGAAGAAGGAAGGTTTCAATTCTTTCTATTTTTTATGGTTGTTTGTTAAACCATTTTAAAACATTTGAAGCATTTTTTTATGTGAAAGTATATATTTATTATTGGACCCATTAGAATTTTATCCAAATCGGTTCAGTAGTTTTGTTTTTAAATCAAAATAAATGATTTTGCCGCAATTAAAGACGATTTTTTTTTTGTGGTGTGTTCCATAATTGTATTATTAAAAATCGATATCAAAACTATATCGATATCGATTCAAAAATCAAAATTATAACTGATTACGCCCATCACTACACAACAAAAGTGAAGTGTTTACATGTGTGTGGTGTGTGTGATTCATTTAGGCGTGTTCTCACTTCGCTTAACGTCGGTTGGAATTTTGCAACTTCTTGTTATAAGTGAGAGCTTTTCAGTTGTTCCGTTTGGAAAAGGTATATTTTTATTTTCTTAAATATTCATTTACCTATATTAACTATTAAACATTTACCATTGCGCTAAATGTTGCACCACGTTTCTTTAATAGGTAAGATAATATAAATACATAAGTGCCTGGAGTAAGCTAGACTTTTTGTCGAATTTGATATTTCTTATTTCATTTTTAGTTTCTCAAATTTCTCAAAAGTTCCTAAATAGATTAAATTGTATTTAGTGACCATTAGATAAAGTAGTAGGTACTTAGCAACCGACTTTAAAGTAAAGGTGATTCTCAATTCAGTTATATTTTATTTATGTTTGTTTGTACTAATTTGTAAGTATATCCTTTCTAATAAAAAAAAAGAATAATTTTCCAAATCGGTTTAGAACTGACGGAAACATAAACAAAATTCAACTGAATTGAGAGGGTGGAAAGGGATTGTTAGTAATGGAGACTGAGAATCTCATTGCTAGCAATATACCCAACCAGGTCGACTTCCTGACGGTTCTCCCTGGAAACTATCATGGTTATTTCCTGATGAATTTATTATGATTGGCTGTTTTCATTCTCATCTATCACCCTTCACTGGTGCTCCGCCAGCGTATCCCGTTAGCGCAGGCGGGGTTACCATACCATTTTCACCCATCAAAAAAAACTGAATTGAGAATCTCCTTTAAAAAGACGGTTGAAATATAGGGGAATTAAAACAAGGGATAATTTTAAATAAATAATCAGTGATGTGGACATCTGCAGGATAACATTCAGTTTAGTTAAATATTTAAAGAAATACAAGAAACAGGCATATATGTTATTAAGATATACAACTTATTAATATTACTATATACTTATTAGCTATATCCCGTGACTTTGCCTGCGTCATTTAGTATATAAAGTATCTTATTTATGTGTTAGGTTTAGATGAGGCCCATCTATCTGTGTAGCAAATATCATTGTTGTGAGGATAGACATTCAGTGAGATTACATCACGTTAAGTCCCGATTGTGTATTTAAAATATGTGCGGATAAAAATACTAATTTTAATGCATGTTAAATTTTGTTTACTGTATATCTATCTTTTTATTGTACGGATAATCTGGTAGTATTGTTTTATTGTTACCCTATACCCTTTGGCCGCAACAGAATATCAGTGCTTTGCTCTTTTGAGGGCAAAGCAATCAACTGAGCTGTGGCCATTTTGTATTGCTATGGCACAGTCACAAACGAAAATTGTATTTAGCTTTGTGTATTTTTTTTTTTATATCTTTTATGTTATCTCGCTTTTTTTTTTTATATATGTATGTTGTAATTTGTGTGCTGTAAGTAATGCAAATAAATTATCTATCTATCTATCTAAAGTTTTATACAATTTCTTTAATTTTACTGAATTTATATAATGGGCTTTAAAACATATTTCCCATATATTTTTCTCTCTATATGCTAATGTGTTTATTCTTAATATGTATAATGATAACGCCATCCGCGTTATCGATATTCGCTGGTCAGAATGAAATGATTTTTTTTAATGGGTGAAAATGGAATAACCTTGCCTGCGCTATCAGTATACACTGTATACACAGTATACACTGACGGGGCACCAATGAGGGATGATAGGTGAGGATAAAAAACAGGTCGCATCCAATAATAATTAACCACGATGGTTTCCAGGGGGAACCTCGTGTCGACCTGATAGGATATATTGCTAGCAATGGGGCCGTTAGATCCCATTACTCACAATCCCTCTCCAACCCGTATGACATTAGAAATCGTGATAAATTTGTCAGGAATTAACCACGATATTTTTCAGGTCCTTTTTTTGTAAATATATAGAACAAGCTGTATCTCTTATGTTTATGGTCCCGACCTAAAATAGACCATCCCTTCCTTTTCTGTGGGTGTCGTATGAGGTGACTAAGGGAATTTAAAGGTGGAGGGATGGCCAGTAGCGTCCTTCTTAAAATACCACACAGGGTTTGTTGGAAGAGCATTCTTATGGAGTTAAGCTTGCATGTTGTACATATTTATTTAATATATATTTATTTATATACTAGTTGTTATCCCCGACTTCGTCCGCGTTTCCGTCGTTTTTTGTAAAATAAGTAGCCTATGTCATTTCTCACAGTTCAGTGGTTTTGATGTAACAGACACATTTCCCTTCACTGCTTTGCTCCTATTGATTGTAGCGTGATATAAAGTATACTATAACCTGCCCAGGAGTATGAAGAATAATTGTACCAAGTTTCATTAAAATTCGTCGAGTAGTTTTTGTTTCTATAACGAACATACAGACAGACAGACAAAAATTTTACTGATTGCATTTTACTAATCAATTTATTAATCACCTAATTAAAAATCAATTATATAATTTTACTAATCACCCCCTGATAGTTATTTTGGAAATATATTTTATGTACAGAATTGACTTCTTTACAGATTTATTATAAGTACAGATAAATGTTTGTTATTTTTTGTGTACAATAAAGAATGAATAAATAAATAAAAGTCTAACTGTGTTTGTTAACCCGCCTGCCAAGCGTGCAACTACTGGCATAACTTCTCTTCTGGAGAAGCTACCAAAGGGAGACTTTATACAAAAGTCGATTGCTTGGGTACCTCTGTCCCATTCGTGTTTCAACCGTGAAGCAGTTGTGTTTGCATAGCTGTGTTTCGGTTTGAAGAGTGGGATATGACGTGAATTTACTGTACTTAGGTGTTATTCCTCTGTACCCAACAGAGGCATAACGCCTGAGTCCTCAGGAGTGGCAACGCATGGGGGATTCATGGGCGAAACAGTATACTCTGTTATTTCCATGTCGATGGTACTGCTAAGAAAAAAAAATATTCTAACATATTTAATAATTTATTGTACATTATATATTATTTTTAATATTAATATATAAAAATTTCAAAAATATGTTAGAATAATTCAATTCCATCAACAGGGCTCAGATGTTACCATTCCTCTGTACCCAGTAAATTCACTGCCATATCCCACCCTTCAAACCGAAACACAGCCATGCAAACACAACTGCTTCACGGTTGAAACACGAATGGGACAGAGGTACCCGAGCAATCGACTTTTGTACAATTTATGATTTTGTCCACAGATTCACGATGTGTTACGCTGGCAAATGTTTTTATTGCATCAAAGTGGAGACGGGTTCTATGATATTTGCTGTTATCAATATGGTTAGTGTTCATCATGATGGGCTAACTGGCCTGTTTTCATTTTCATCGATCACCCTTCACTGGTGCCCCGCCAGTGTATACCGTTAGCGCAGGCGGGGATACCATTCCATTCGCAGTCCATAAGAAAGAGTCGACACCTCTGTCGCTCCCTTCTCGCGGGCTTGGAGTGCCATCAGCACTCGCCCCTGCATTCGCGTCCGGTGAAGCTGTAAAGGCCACTCACGGCCAACAGCAAACACATTCAGAAAAAAAACCATTCCATTTTCATCCAATAAAAACAAACCTATCGCTGAGGAATGGGTTCAGCTCGCATATAGCTTAATTTCCATGGAACCAATTTATTTACCTATCAAACAAAAAATGGTTAGCGTTTTGGGAGTTGTTTTAATGGAATCCAGTGGCCTTATTGCTAGCACAACACGTCATTAGAGCGACTTCCACGTGGTTCCCGATGAATTATTCCGGACGAATTCACCACGACACGTCAACCGACTTACCTTTATTCTCACTTTTAATAATTTCCTTACAGGTAATTACATCTCTGCTCATCATTGGAATCATTATAGGCACGATTATATTTAACGTGACGTTATACAAAGCTCAGCATCCCACTGATGTAGCTATATTGGATAACGTATACCAATATATGGATAAAGGTAGTCAAAACTCCCGTGACGTCCTCATTATAAATGCAATCTTGGGAGGTTCCGTGTTTATTATAATCTTACACTTCGCATTTTCTGCGGTGTTGATCAACGGATTATCCAAGGTAATTGTTACTTATTTATTTATATATGTCCATTGAAAAATAAACCTATATCCTTCTCCATCCCATGGAGTATCTATACTCTTAACTTTATAGTTAGTTATTTGTTAAACTGTCAAGGAGCCAAGAGGTAACTAACAAACTCACATTTACATTTATAATATTATTAGGGACTAGGATTTTTAGAGTTCCTTATTAAAATGATGCAAAGGATTGATGCGATTTCGTCCGTCTGTCTGTCACAAGTTTGTACTTAGCAATTACTAATGGTTACTTATTAACTTATAGACCAGAAGGAGACTGTACAAAAGTCGTTTGTGTGGGCACCTCTGTGAAGTTTTTTTTTTTATTGATGGGTGAAAATGGAATGGAATGGAAAATGGAATGGTAACCCCGCCTGCGCTAACGAGATACGCTGGCGAAGCATCAGTGAAGGGTGATAGATGAGAATGAAAACTGGCCAGTTAGCTCATCATGATGAATTCATCAGGAATTAATCATGATAATTAAAGTTTAATATTTTTATTTTATTATATAATAAGTTTTACATATACCATTTAAACAATACGATATTAATAAAATTATGAACTATAAAGATAACAGATTACATAATGCCTTTTTTTACCCAATTAATACATAACCTTTCAACTGTGTCATGTAAAATGGTGGAAAATCCACATCTGTGGTTTCCCGTGAGCGAACTTTACACAGACTAGGTATTTTTAGCGTATAGGTTTAAAAAACCTGATTTTTCCGAAATCTAATTGAAATTATACAAAATTCAGATTAGAATATTCCAACTAGATTCCTTATGTAATTTCTTACACTACACTCGAATTGCGTTGCAACTGTTCTATGAGAAATAAAATGAGGTCACCTATAAATTACCTTTTATTTTTCAATTATTAAAAAACTAAGACCTTGCTGGATGTAAAATTATATATTTTTGTACAATATTATATAGTTGATAAAATAAAAATAAAATGGTTTATGTTCCAATACATCTTTTTTATACAGCACTTGTTTATAATCATGGACCAAAAAAAGTCCCTCTTCAATTGACACATAAGTGGGTCTCCTATTTCATTATTTTACGTACATTCTTGGCGTTAGGGACAAAAGGTGGTTTGTTTATAATAATTTAAGCTTATCGCTAAGCTAGTTTAGACAAAACAGTATATATGACATTATTATTTTATATGTCCGCTGAGCGAACGCGACACAGATGCGCATCGACACAGTTGAGAGGATAATATAATTTCATTGATAATTAGAGCCGTGAAGAATAAGTCCGGCTAATCGAATATTAGGATAATCGATGTTCGAATAATCGAGATTCTATTGTATGCGAATATTATAGAAAAATGTAACTAACAGTTTTTAAGAAATTATCAAAAACTTAGTATGCTTATTTCATATGACTTGAATTTTATTATATTTTTATTTAATTTTTATCTGGTGACTTGTAATACAGGTTTAATACCTAGTACAGGCACCAGCTCCCACAAATAATATTGCTAAAATGTTTTGCAAGTTATAGATGTTAAGTCCTTAATTGTTTGTGGTGAGAAATATAATAAATAAATAAATAAATCTGTGTTTTTTTCCAATCGAGTAACAGGAATTCACGAGTTCAAGACTGATTACTTATCGTCAAAATAAATAATAATGTGTAATGTAAACAGTATGTAACGGATTAAATTACGTGTCAGTGTACGCGCGGTACAGAATTAAATGTAAATAGATTAGATTAGATTTTTTATGCAAATTACAAAAGCAAACAAGCTGACAGCCCACCTAATGGAAAGTGGTAGGTATGTCCTAAGAGTCTGGATGGTCGAGTACAGTGCTGTTTCACAGATGTTTCTTCCCACGAACGCTTAGGTTATGGAATGAGTTCATAATCGAGGTTTTTCTAAGAAACTACAGCATTGGGTTCTTCAAAAGAGTTTAAGCTTTCTTCAGGATCTACAATGTGCGCGTAATGTCCCTGGAATTACAAGCTTTCATAGGCTACGGTAACTGCTTACCTTCATCCACGGCCGCATGGTTGTTTGCCACCTCAGTGGTATAATAAAAAGCCGGTAACCGTTGCCTATAGATATGTAAAGGACTATGAGTGTAACGGAGTACACTGCGTCGCCCTTGATACCCTTTAAGCTTTACTATTCCTGAGGATCAAGTAGAAAAAATAATTAGATAAAAAAAATAGACGATTCGATTTATTTTAAATGCGTTTTAATAAATAAGAAAATATTAATTTGAATTACACATGTTGTTCACATATTTATATAGTTGTATAAAAAAAATCTATTACATTGTAGAATTTTTGCGAAATGGCAAATAAGTTGACAGCCCGTCTTATGTAAATTGGTAACCCACAGTGAAACGGTATGAAGGCAATTAAAACTATAGTCCTCACTTGAGGGGTAGCTTTCACTGACTGTTCTGTGACGTGATTTATTAATGTAATAGGTGAGTAGGTATAATGTAAGGTCTTTTAATGGGTGATAATGGAATGGTAACTCCATCTGCGCTATTGGTATACACCGGCGGAGCACCAGTAAAGGATGATAGGTGAGGATGAAGTAGGTCTGTTAGCCTATCGTGATGAATCAATAAGAATTGTTCACGATGGTTTCCAGGTGGAACCACGTGGAGGTCGATCTAATAGGGCATATTGCTAGCAATGGGGCTATCAAATTCCAGTGCTAACTATCCTTTTTTCCCTAAGAAGGGTCGACGTAATAACTTTTAGTTATTACGTCGACCCTTCTTAGGGACGGTCGACGTAATAACTAAAAGCCAAAATCTGAGGCGATATGAATAAAAACAAATCTTTATCGACTTTAAGTAATTATCGTCTGAGGGCATCATGAGGCGGTTTGGACCTCGTCGTATCTCGATCCCCACCTGAAGGAAATTAAGTCGTATCCGGTGGATAGGAGACGGCGCTCCGTAAGTTCGTTCGCAGTACCATGTGCACTCGCCCCATTTTTATCCGGAGTAGCTGTAAAGTCCATCTGTAGCCAACAGCAATAATTAGTTCGAAAAAAAAAATTTAGTAATTAGAATAAGGGCAAGAAGATTACGAGACGAAGAATTATGATGTACCCTCTAATTTCACTTCCATTTTCTATACCGATACAGTCATTCAAGGACAATGCTCGCCAGTCGTAATAAGGATGGAATCTGAAAATATAGTATCCATGCAGCTAACTGTTTTATACTTTTTTTTTTTCAGCAAAAATCGGAGCAAGTGAAGATTTTTTTTATATATGGTGTGTTTATTAATGTGCTAAGCTACGGAGTCTTTGCAATTTTGCCGATCCTTGTAATTATTCCATGTAAGTGTATACTTTCACCCATTGATGTAAAAAATACCAAGATACACTATGTAAAAATCGGCACTTCAACCAATTGAAATATTCATATAAATCTTGTAAATAATATCTAATAACATTTCTAGATGCAATGTTTTATATTAACGGAATCAACTCCATTACATTTTTAATTTGAAACACATTTAATTTTTTTTTTATAAAACTTATAATAAACAATATAATAATAAACAAGCACATTTTTTTCCCAAAAAAAGGAGTAGAAAAATAAAAGCAAAAAAAATATTTACTTTCTATATAGCTAATCTAGTATCTTTACATATTTCAATAGCTGAATATGCTATATACCAGAGCTCCTTTACATCCTTCCTTAGCTTCCTTTAGAGTTACTTTGGGGAAAAAATGTTAGTTTATCTCTTAGTTGAACTGAGTACGTTATACTACGTCTATGGTTCAGTTGGTAGAGGACACCGTTAGGATACCAGTGTTTCGATTTAAACCACAGACGATCCAGTAATGGCCAATAAACAAACAAACATAAAATGTATTAAATTATTGATTGTTTACTAATTAATCATATTTACTAATCGATTTTCAAAATTTAATTAGATAGACAGAGTAATTTTTTTTCCTACACCACTAAGAAATTCTATTATTTACTTATTTTTTATTTAGCTATATTTGGACTATCTATTATTTAGCTATTTTTTGGTCTATCAAATTATCTTACTTTTCTTTGTGTTTATTCTTTGAAATAGATTTTAGAGGTATTAATATTGAATATAATTTGATTATTTTCAGTGATCTTCACCTCGATTCTCGTGATGATCTACATGACTTATACAAAAATGGAAAACATGAAGGCATATGGACTAGTAGTCAACAACTACCGCGTACCTTTAGTTGCAGCTTAAGTTATTCACTTCCTTGAATTTAATATTCTCATTGTATTTTAATGTAAAAACTCGTACACTGGTAAATCTTTGGTTTAATTAGTAAATCTCTCGTCCGAAATGATCGATGATCATAGTTATTGACATCAGCAATGTGGTCAGAAAGGTTGGTTTTTTTTTTTAATGGATAAAAATGGAATGGCAATCCCGCCTGCGCTAATGGTATACGCAGGCGAGACATCAGTTAGCCCATTGTGGTGATAGACACTTGGAATTCAGTACGATGTTTTCCAGAGGGACCACGGAGAACTCGACCTATTGGATTGGGGTATTGACAATGGAACTGATAATCCGCATTACTAACAATCCCCTCTCCCCAGAAAGGTAGGTTATATTACGTTTGACTTGATTTAGTAAAAGCCTGAAAAATTATTCTTTATTCTTTATTATACACAAAATATAATGTTAACCACAATTCATTTGAATAATAATAATAATAATAATAATTTATTTATTTGCTAGAAATGTGGTTATAATAATGGTCTTAAATATAATAGATCTACACATTTCGCCTTATCTAAAGGCATGCAAATTTAGTATTATAATTTAGTGGCTTACGTATATTAATAGCCTAGTAGGAGTCAATCCATAAATATTGGTAGCCGCACACATACTAATGGTAGCAGACTAAATAAACACAAATACAAACTAAACAAAAACAAATACACAACAAGTCAATGATATAACAAATGTCATACAATACAAATTAATTACACATTTACATACATTCATTTAATTTTTTAAAAAGTCATTTATTGAATAAAAATTGCATTCCAGTAACCATTTTTTTAACCGTAATTTAAAGTGACTTACTGGTAGTTCTCTTATTTATTTTGGTATTTTATTATAACTTATATATGATATTATATTATATAATATTGAAACATAATGTACAAAGGCGGTATTATCTCTAATAAGAGATTTCTTCCAGCAAAATATATGATATGTATACACAAAGAATAATACAAACTACACATTATAAATTACATAAAATACATAAACCCTGTAAACATACACATTCTATATATTTTTATATAGTTCTTACATTTACCAATTTATTTTAGTGAATCCGAAAATTTACTATTCCAACCAAAGATTTATCAGTTTACAGCCTGTTATAGTAATACATAAAAACTATAAAGGGAATAGTATCTGCGATCCCTTGTTGTATTAGAAAACAACTGTTTTGTCTGAAACTCTGTCGCAAGGATGTATCTATGTGTAAAAAAAAATCTATATTAAAAAAAGAAGTCGAAAAAGTTTACATCGTTGTTTATTCTAAATTTAAAACTGTTTAAAATAGTCGTAACCTATATTTGGCAGTTTGGCATAATCTAAATATCGTAAAAAGTGGGGATCGTAGAAACTATATGTGAAGGTTGTGTGAAAGTGGTACAGCAGATAAAGCAGTCTTATTAAAATATCTGTATTTTATTCAAAATAGTGAAGATGCATTTGGGCATGCAATTAAAGTTTTATTAATCACGAATTGTTTTATAAACAACAGTAGTGAGTAAACGGCCGATTTACTAATTCTATTCGGCCATCTTATTTCTAGTTTTACTATAATAATGATTTATATTAATTAAAAATATAGGAAATATTTCTTACATTTTTGTATACATTTTTAAATGTATATGAAAAATATATTTTTCATATACATTTTTCTCATATTTTTTTATTAGATCTAAGTTTAAATTCATATTTTTTTTTCATTTGTAAGACAAAACAAAATTTTTAGTATTATGCTTAGATTTTATTTTGTTTCTATGATTCAAAAGTAATATAATATAAAGTAGCTTAATTTAGCATTGTCATTATAAAGGCAAATTATATTAAAAAATATATATAGTTTTTAGGCTGTAAGTAAGGTAGGTGGTAGTTGTTCCTTAGAAGGCCACTGTACGATATAACCAACGAGCTTTTTGATTCTGAGCGGTCATTACTCGAAATCTGTCTCTAAAGTAAACATTTTAATTATAGCAAACGATATTGCAGTGAAATCTTTATTCGAAGAACAAAAATTAACTAAATTGCTAACAGATTTGAGACAAAATTATTATTAATTTAGTTTATAATACTTTCTAAAACAGTAATTTTAATTAATTGTTTTCAAATTGTGAATTTAGGATAAATAATAGATAATACTAGCGTTAATCATTTCAAATTTTTATGAATAAGAATCAAGTCTTCGCAATTTGGCAAAAATAGATTGTAATAATGTTTTGTACTATAAAAATATAATAATAATAACTACTCTTTGTTTTTTTTACCAGAGGGAGACTTTGTACAATAGTCGATTGCTTGGGTACCCCTATCCCATTCGTGTTTCAACCGTGAAGCAGTTATGTTTGCATGGCTGCGTTTTGGTTTGAAGGGTGGGATATGACTTGAATTTACTGGGTACAGAGGAATAACATCTGAGTCCTCAGGAATGGCGACGCATGGGGGGTATCATGGGCGAAACAGTATACTCTGTTATGTCCATGGTACTGCTCATGTCTATAGGAGACGGTTACTACTTTACATCAAGTGGGCCGTCAGCTTGTTTGCCATTCTAAGTTGTATAAAAAAATATATATTATTTTGTCCACTACTGGACTTAGGCCTCTCCTATACACTGACATATAGGTATGGTCCTGAGCCTGAGACTAAAATTATACATATTTTTAGTAAAACCTTCCAAATAATACCATGGAATACTCATGGTAGGAACATCATCGTCATATCAGCCTTTAACTGTCCACTGCTGGACATAAGCCACCCCATCGGGGATTGTGCTAGTTACCACGTTTGGCAGGCGGATTGGCAACCGCAGTCAGGCTTTAGAGATGTTTTAAGAGGAACGCTACTGCCCATTCCTCGCCCTCGAAAGGTGGGGTGGCCTATTCTGTGCCGTACGGTCAAGATGATAGGCCATGACAGGATCACTTCTTGTAAATCTGAGTTATGATAAAATAAATTAGTTATTTTAAATCAAATGAAATACTACGTTTACAACAGTGACAGCCGACAGATACCTTTGACTATCCCATCTGGGATTATAGTCGTGATCATATTTAATAATAAAAAAAAATACAAATAATAATTTTTTTATCAAAATAAATCTATAATTAATTTAGCCATCATCATAATTGCTTTGCTTTTTTTTCATTTATTTGTGATTTGAACATCTTCTACTTCTTCAACTGGCTCCAATTTTAGTCTATTTAGTTATACATATTTTCATTTATAAATTATTCACGTTAGATTTAACCCAAAACTTTCAAATTTGATACCGGGGTTTACATTGTTTCATTGTTAAATAAATTTAAACATTTTGATTACCGTAATGCCTAAAGTATCAAAAATGATACCAAATGTTTTTTTTTTCAAAATAAATATATCGTTTTGATTTTTTTTACTATTTTTTCTCATTACTAAGCACAGTAAAGGATACACTTATATTATATATATTTTTTTTAAAAAAATCAAGCATTTAAGTGTTAATTAGTCAATAACTCGATTTAACTGTGCTATAGGCGTAGGTACTTAATGTCGGTTACCTAGATATCTAATATTCTGATACAATATGAGATCCTACCCCATATATAAATATGTAATACATATATTAATATTGTAATTATATATTACTTGTTTCACTCATCTCTACTAAATTTTATTGGTTGATAATGGAATTCTAACCCCTCTTGTGCTATCGGTATACATTGGTGAGGCACCAGTGAGGGATGAGTGGTGAGGATGAAGCAGTTGGTTTATCGTTACGAATTCAACTATAGGGACAATTGGGGAACAGTGGAACACGGGGCACTATGGAACAATGTCGATAATTTTTTTAATTTCAAACTAATTCGCGCGCTACCGCTTTGACCAATCGCAGTGCGTCCTGCGCCATACGAAGACGTAGTGAAATATGACGACGCGACAACAGTGGAGTTGTGAATAGAAAAATATTGGTTTTTATGTTCAAAAGTTAAGATTTTTTTTCAAAGTACTTTCGTTTTTAGTAAAAAAAGTTTAAGCAATAGGTAAGTGATATATTTTTTTCATAAATCTTAATCATTTTGTCTATTTAAGACTACTATGTGTTAAATTCAAAACATAATCTAACTTTTTTGAAGACTTGTTTGAAATTTTGTACACGCTATGGGGCACTATGGAACGGGGCACAGTGGAACACTGTTCCATTGAACCCCACAAACTTAACTTCATTTTTTGGCAGATTTTACACAAGTCTAGAATGGTGAGACACCGCGTCAGAAAAAGGGACAGGGGACTTCATAGCGAAACTAACATGCGAGAAGTTGTAGGACAGAAGGTAAATAAAGAATGTCGAATGTGCTACGTTGCAAACTAAAAAAAGCAACAAAGACACTATTTTCTAGTCCTGAGAAAAGGTTCGATTCAGATGATAATATAACTTCGTGTGAATCAAGTGATAACGATATGAAATTTCCACTGTCCAGCTTTAAATTACCAAAACCTAACGATTTTACGTGGTAAAATTTGCTGATTTAAAGCAAATAAAATTTTTCGTTGGTCAAATACTGTCTGATATAGATGAGAACAACGAATTTGTGAACAACAAAAAACAAATTATTTACGACGAAGCGCAAAAGTTGACAATAGTTTCTATTTTCCGTTAAAACCGGACATGGCAATAGTTTCAGCTGAAGATATTGAACTAGTCTTGCCAAACCCGTCCTTATTTGGAAAAACTAAATGTCAAAAAAGCATCTTCACGTTTCCTGACAAGGTATTAAAAAGATTTGATAGTATTGGTTAATTTTTTGGTATGAATACAGGTCGTGTTCCAATGTGCCCCATACCCTGTTTCATTGTACCCCAGATCTGGGGCACAGTGGAACACAGGAAGGGGTTCACAAAATGAAAGATAAATAGGTTTAAGTTTGATTATTGATCTCTGTTTTGCTGTGCGATTATTAAGTTAAGGTATATTAATGATGTTTGTAAGCAAAAATTATATAAAGAATAAACATAAATTTTTCTAAAAATAAACATATTTTTTTCGTACCATTGTGCCCCAACTGTCCCTAAATCAATCACGATGATTTCCAAGGGAAACCGTGTGGAGGTCGACCTCAAGGATAAACTGCTAGCAATGGGATTACTAATCCCCATTACTAAAATCCCTTCTCCCCCTACCTTTACTAAGTATAACCGTAGGAGTTGATTATGACATACTATTTTCTAAATAAATAAATAAAAAAATTTAGTATTTTGGTTAATTTTCTAGGGGAGAATATATGGAAGTCGATTCGACAGGGTTTTTTTTAAATAGAATAGTAATCCCGCCTATGCTAACGGTATACACTGGCGGGGTACCAGTGAGCAATGATCGGTGAAGATAAAAAATCCGGTCAGTTAGCCCATCGTCGATCGAATTTAACAAGAATTAACCACAATAGTTTCTAGGTGGAACCACGTGGAAATCGACCTGATATAGATCTGAAAGTAAACCTGATATAGATGTGGAGATATATTTGCTAGCAATAGAACCACTGGTTGAACCATATTCAATTACTAAAAATCCTTTGCTTTTAATTATTAACGTTAAGAGGAATGCTGTTGTTGCTGGCTGTTGTTAACCATTAAAAGCCTGATTTTTTAAATCAAATCAAAAAATATATAAGTGTACCCTTTACTGTGTTTACTAATGGGGAAAAATAGATAAAGAATCAACGATATTTTTATATATTTATTTTGAAAAAAACATTTGGTAACATGTAAACAGCCAAATATTAAATTAAAATCGATTGTAGGCACCCAATGCGATTTATAACCCCGGTATCAAATTTGAAACTTCAGGTATTTAAGGGTTAACAGTACATTTTAATAATACCTACAACAAAGTTTATAATACAAATGGCATAGACAATGGCGCGCACATTTCCTCTGATCTTGGGTATAATAGAAACCTAGTAACAATGAGACCCTTACCACAAAAAATATTTAAAAAAGCCCGTTACTAAATACAATTGTATTTGGGTATTATTATTTGGGTGTTGAGGGTGGTGTAGCTAGACTACAGGCCAGTTCAAGTCACAATACGGAGTACAACACATCTCGTTGATGAAAAATTGTCTTGCTGTTCTTTACTTATAGTTTGGATCTCGTCGAAGCTGACTGCAAATACAAGGTACATATTATTCCTATTATAAATATAAACGTGTAACTTAATATTAATTCTACCTACATTATAAATGTTGAAGTCTGTGAAGATGTTTGGATACACATGGTACACGTGTTAATTTCTAATTTTAATTAATTTCTACAAATTCCGTAACTACGTAAAGCTATCTCTGTCCCATTCATGTTTCTGTCTGAAGAGTGAAAGTGCCTGCCAATTTCACTGCCTTATTTCTTTGAATAAGGCAGTGAAATTACACCGTGGTCGCGAAGAGCAGCAATATTATATATGTGCCATATTCTATCATAATGTATTCTATGAGTTTCTTAAAATACATTTCATGTCGTAAAAGATTACTAAATTAAAATTTATTTAAAATTTTAATAATATACTTAGTTAACAGAAAATTAATAAAAATGAAAATCTTCTTAAATATACTAGGTGAAAAGGTATTTATTTGTTTTTTTTCTTTATTTACATTTTTTTTGTGACATTACAGTCTATTTTTTAGTACTTAAAGAAAAAGTATCCATGTTTTGTTGAAATTGTCTCAGGAACGTTCTCTAAATGAAACTTGTAACGAATCGAATCATTGTATTCTTGTTTTGTACTACTAATATTGAACATCGTAGATTGTCTTATAGTCATTTCAATTATTCATTTGTTAACATGTTCAACCGACTTCAGAAAAGGAGTAGGAACCACCTCTAAACGTGCCCACCGACTACGTTCTTATTTCGGTTGTATTTTTAAAATAAAATAACTGGTACCACAGTTGAAGCATTTTATCTATTTAGTATAAAATCTTATTACCTTAAAAAAAATAGACCCCATATTTACACTGATTATTTGGCTTTTTATGGATAAAATAATTTTTAAAGTCGGTTAAGTATTTTTCGAGTTTATCTCTTTATAATATCCGTTTGGAGTTCAGTGATTTTAAATTCTTTCTTTTGTTTCAGAAATTCACGATGTTTCCTTCATGTTTGAACTGCGTCAAAGTGGAGACAGGCTCTGTGATATTTACCATTATCAATTATGTAAGTATAACCTATTACATATTAATTTTTAGTAAGAGTTAGTTTTGTTAATGGATATGGAGCCC